CTCTGTTGCCTGTGCGGAGAAAAATCGGGTTCTAACTAACTCTGTGACGGCACTTTGGGGAACAGATGCTCCACCCAGATGATGGTGCTTGCAGGAGTGGAAGAGAAAGACAACATCCAAGGAAGCTGAAATAGTAACGGGACAGCTCACACTGTCCGACAACGTGAATGAAGTGTAATAAATCTTGGGATATGGAAACCCAAAAGGATAAGACTATTTGCGAGTTTGAGAGGCTATGCAGTAAGTCTTTTGCAGAGAAGAATGTCACCTATCATCTGTATATATTTTCTAGATCACAGCCTTTGCTGTCATTCTTCTGTTAAACCTCTATCTCACCCGTGGGTTCTCATTGACCACCTTAACCCTTTCCAAAAACCGGTGACATAGCCACAAACCAGCAAGAGCCAGCCCTCTGCAACTCTGCATCTACTCCAGAGGGTGACACACCTGCCCGAATCTTCACTGATGGCACCAGAGGATCTATTTCTGAAACCATGGATTCAGAAGCATTCAAAAGTACTGATGAATAAACATACAACCAGCATGATGGTAAGGAACAAGACAGTAGGCATTGGGAAAAAAATACCCAAGCCCAACTCCAGAGCAGGTAAACTAGAAGTGTCTGGGTGTGGGATTCAGGTACTGGTATTTTTAAAAATCTCCCCAAGGGATTCTAAATCACAGACAGTGTTGAGAACCACAGGCCTAGCACAATATGGAGCCCTGAGGACTATGGCCATGTGGGTAGTACAATACTGTTCCAAAGTCAATGAACTTCCAGGCAGAGCTTATAAAGGTAGAATTGCAAAATCAGCATGAAACCTGGTGTTTTTTATTTTAAAATATGGCCCCAAAGTGTTTGACATTTCTTCCATCGAAAGGTAGGGTGCATCAAAAATAAATTCAAAATGGATGAAAGACCTAAATGTGAGACAGGAAACCATCAAAATCCTAGAGAACACAGGCAGCAACCTCTTTGATCTCACAATAGCAACTTCTTATCAGGCACTCCTCACCACAGGCAAGGGAAACAAAAGCAAAAATAAACTATTGGGACTTCATCAAGATAAAAAGCTTCTGCACAGCAAAGGAAACAATCAACAAAACTAAAGGCAACTTATAGAATGGGAGAAGATATTTGCAAATGACATATCTGATAAAGGGTTAGTATCCAAAATCTATAAAGAGCTTATCAAACTCAATACCCAAAAATAGATAATCCAGTTAAGAAAGGGGCAGAAGACATGAATAGACATTTTTTCTAAAGAAGACATCCAGACGGCAACAGACACATGAAAAGATGCTCAACATCACCATCATCAGTGAAATATGAATCAAAACCACAATGAGATACCACCTCACACCTGTCAGAATGGCTAAAATTAACAACACAGGAAACAACAGATGTTAGCAAGGATGCAGAGAAAGGGGAACCCTCTTAACTGTTGGTGGGAATGCAAACTGGTGCAGCCACTCTGGAACACAGTATGGGGGTCCCTCAAAAAGTTAAAAATAGAGCTACCCTATGACCCAGCAAATGCACTACTAGGTATTTACCCAAAGAAAATACAGATTCGAAAGGGTACATGCATCCCAATGTTTACAGCATTATCAACAAAAGCCGAACTATGAAAATAGCCCAAATGTCCATCTGCTGATGAATGGATAAAGATGTGGTATATATATAGGATAGAATATTACTCACCCATCAAAAAGAATGATATCTCACCATTTACAACATTTTGGAGGAAGCTAGAGTGTGTTATGTTAAGCAAAATAAGACAGAAAAAGATAAATACCATGATTTCACTCATCTGGAATTTAAGAAACAAAACGGATGAACACAGAGGAAGGAAGAAAAAAAAAAGAGAGAGGGAGAACACCATCAGGGACCACTAACTACACAGAACAACCTGAGGGTTGCTGGAGGCGAGGTGGGCAGGTGATGGGCTAAATGGGTGATGGGGATTAAGGAGGGCACTTGTGATGAGCTGGGTGTTATATGTAAGTGATGAATCACTAAATTCTGCCCCCGAAACCAGTATTACCATATATGTTAATTAACTAGAATTTAAATAAAAACTTGAAACCAAAAGAAAAAAAACAAAGGTAGGGTGTGTGTCCTTTTCTCTCGAATATGGGTGGATCTTTGACTGTTTCATCAAAAAAATATACCAGAATTGATGCTATCTTTGTTCTAAGGCTATATCATGAAAGGCAATACAATTTCCACCTTGTGGGCTTGGGTACTCATTTTGGAGCCCTGAGTCCCCAAAAAAGTCCAACCACCTTAGCCACCATGTCATAAGGATTATCAGGCTACACTGAGAAGCCACCTGCCGGGACTCTTCTTGATGCTCCACCCAACTTCCCAGTCACCATCAGTGTCAACTAAATAACTGAGAGATTGACAGATCGTCTACAAAATCTGGGACTCGAAAGCATCAAAGTAAATAAGTGTACTGGAGTAATGTCTCTGAATTTTCCCATCAAACACTCATTTTCCAGTCTTCCTCCAAATTTAAGATCACTCTTTAAGCAATCAATGAAATTACAAGGGTCTGAAGCTACATCACAAGCTTTTCTTGTTCTGAATAGTGGCTACCTTTGCAATGAAAGAGAAAAAATAATCTGAAAATGCAAGGAAGAGGTCTGTAACAAAACCACCTAACCTCAAAGAAACAACCACTATCACTTTGAAATATCAGAGAAACGAACGGGCTTTAATAATTTGACTGTGGGTCTAAAAAACTGAATGGTTGTCCCAAAAAGGAATATCCATGTCCTAATCCCTGGAACCCATGGATGTCACCTTTTTTGGAAAAAAGGTCTTTGCAGATGTAATTGAGCTAAGGATCTTAAGATGAAACCATCCAAAATTATACAAGTGGGAACTATATTCAGTAACAAGTGTCCTTGTAAGAGATACACAAGAGAGTTAACAGACAGAAGGGGAGCAGGCAATGTGACCACTGAGGCAGAGATCTGAGTGAGGCAGCCATACATCAGGGATTGCTTACAGCCACCAGAAGCTGGAAGAGGCAAAAACAGATTCTCCTCTAGAGCCCCCGAGGGAATGCGGCTCAGTCAACACCTTGATTTCGACAACTTCTGGCCTCCAGAACTGTGAGAGAGTAAATCTCTACTATTCTAAATCAAAGTTTGTGGTGATTTGTCACAGCAGCCACAGGAAATTAATACAGTTGGGGGAAAAAAAATTTCCTAATCAAAATGTTCTGCTTCTACAGAAGGACAAAATTTAATAAATTGCAGTTTTATTCTTTATTACTTGTCTCCTCATGCTTCTACTTAGAAGATCGATTTCAGTTCAAAATATCATTTCTAATACAAAAATGTCAAATTACTATTGTTATTTTTGTATATGTTTAATGTTTCCATGCTCGTCTTTTAAATATGATCTAAATGATTTTTTTAGGCTGTATTTATCAGCAACCTAAATAGAGTACAAAGTAAAGGGCTTGATTGAGCATTCTAAATTCTGCAGATGGTGCACTTAAATGCTGCGAGGTGAGGAGGAGAGAGCAGAGCACTATACAGAAAGGATAAGAAGAATGATAACCTTTCTGTAAAGTATGACTCAGAGGGCAATGTCTGTAGACATGCTTTAAAAAGGCTGTCTCAAATCCCAATAGCAGGACATCCTACAAAATGACTTACCAGTATTCCTCAAAACCATGGAGGCCAGCAAAAACGAGGAAAGTATGAGAAATTGTCACAGCCAAGAGGAGCCTAGGGAGACATGAACACTAAATGTAATGTGGTATCCTGGAACAGAAAAACATTAGGAAAAATGTAAGGAAATCTGAATAAAGACTTCAGTTCAAGAATAACATATCATTATTGGTTCATTAATTCTAACAAAAGTACCACACAAACATAAGGTATTAATAAAAAGGTAAAAATGCGTGCCGGACATAGGGGCACTCTGTGTCCTCCCATCTTCTCAATTTTCCTGTAAATGTAAAACCGTTCGAAGCAATAGTCTAAAATACCGCAAGCGGCGCGCGTCTGCGCGCGCGCGCGCGCACACACACACACACACACACACACACACACACACACACACACCTGTTTCTATCAATATTCATATTTCAAATAAGAAACTAAAGTTGAAGGAAGTGAAACTTTTAATACAAATCAGTAATGTTGAGGACATTTTCTCGACTACTTCCCAGAATGCTGGTGCACTTTGCAAAGAATTATTTAATAAGGCTTTTTGCCCTTAATTATTGGCGATGTTCTTAAAAAGGAACACCAAAAAACTTTTCCGGAATTACAAAGATAAATAAATAAAAGGAAAGAAAGAAAAGGAAAAAACAGCTGGTTCTGCTTGCAGTCTAGTTTCCAGGACTAACTGGCGTGCCATCTGCTCGCAGCACAGAGTGGTAACCATGGTTCACGTGTCACACCAGCGTGCGGTGTTAGGAAGTTTGCCCCAACACGCCTGGACAACTTAGCTTCAGCGCAGGTTGCAAGGGGGAGGGGGTGGCGGCAGCGGCGTCCAGAGTCTGTATATCGTTTTTTCCAAACTCCATCTGCTTTCCCCTCCCCTGGCTGTGCCCGCGGTCTCCCAGCGCGGCAAGCTGAGGGGACCGGAGCGGGCCTTTTATGCATAACAAAAGAGCCCTCCTTCTCCTTCTCCCGCCGCCCCGCGCCGCCCCCACCTTGGCTTCCAGCGGCCACCCGGGCCCGCGTCCCCGGCAGGAATTGGCTCCCGGGCTCGAGGTTTCCAGGTACCCGGAAGGGGGAGGGGGCTGAGGCGGCAACAATTGGGCGGGTGAGGGCCAAACGCGCGGCCGGGAGCGCCAAGACTCCGAGGGGCGGTGAGCCCGGGCCGTGCCGCCACGGGATTGGCCGGGACCGCCCCGCCGGCCGCCGCTGATTGGTGGATTCTCAAATTCGGTCTCAAGGCGCCAGAGGAGGTGTTTTAGCGGGGACTGCGATCTAGGGCTGTAGCGCTGGCGCTGCCCGGACGCCGCGGGGTCCCGGCCAGCTCAGGGCACTCGGAGCGGGGGTCTGCGCGCCTCACTTTCCCCGCCCGATGTCGCCGCCCGTCTGCTGATCGCCTCGCCCCGCTGGTCCCGCGCCGGTGTGGGGTCGTGGAGGTCCCCAGAGGCAGGAAACCTCCTTCTCAAAGTGGGAGTAAGTAGCGTGCGGCCCTAAGCTCTGCGAGGAGGCGGGAATTGGGGGGAAAGGGGACACCCCCGCCCAGGCTGCCAGCCTGCCACCCCTCTCCCCTGCTGGCGGGGATCGAGGCATTTCTGCGGCCGGACCAGGCGTGCGTGGGGTGTCCTGGTTCTATCTCTCCCTCCCGTGGAGCAGTAGAAGAGACTTGTCTTTCCTCGCGATCTGGGGGATTCTTTGGGAGAGTTTATCCTTGGGGTCCGCTTGGAGGCCTGCGCTAAAAGCTGAGTGGGTTTGGTCTGGCGATCAGGTTTCCTTCCCCCCTGATTCAAAACCCCCTCAAAGCCGAATTCCTCCCAGTTCTTTGCGCCAAAATTAACTGACCCAGGAGACCCTGTACTTTCTGACAGATTTGCCCTACACTCTCCTGACTTGGTAACTTTGGTGCTGTTGCTTTTCATAAAAAATTACCATTTTTGTCGATTTTTGTTTTCTTCCCAGGTTTTTAGTAATTTCCAAGCACACTTAAAGGGCTCGTATTCATTCATGTGCATTTTAAAGTTGGGGGATGGCTACGCTCCTGGAAATTACCAAGATGAGTTTAGGGAGGGGAAGTTCATGTTCACGAGCAAGTAATAAATAGATATTTTTGTTGGAGGAGGAAACATCCAACTGTAAAATCCCTTCTAATGTAATTGTGCATTACAGATGGAGGTAAATTGTTTAACACTAAAAGACCTGATCAACCCCAGGCAGTCCAGACTAGATTTTGCAATTGAAGATGGGGAAAATGCACAAAAGGTAAGTGCACTTAAATACCTTAAAGTTCTAACATATTTAGGATGGTGATGTCTAATTAAATGAAGTGTTCCAACATGCCACTTGTACTTGTCTTATAAACGTAATAAATTTTGATGAACATTATAGAAATATACTTTCTTTACAATGAAGGCATTCAAACCATTATTGTTGAGTTTCCCACTCAACAATTGTGCGGTGGAAAGAGGCTAAGTTAGATGTAATGTTGGAACCAATTTACATGAATCGAAGATGTGCTGGACACTGCACTCAAAAGTTTATAATACTTATAGTTGTCAAGAGTGGAATTAGCTAATGCTGCACAGGAATGTGAAGCCTCAGTTCCCAAGAAATAAGGTCTATACCTTATACTGTAATGGTGGATTATTAAAGAGCTATGAAATGTTCTTCGTACCAATGACCCAGCACCTAGCGGCTGTTCCATTCACCCAAAATTATGACCTGTGTCTCCCATATATAAGGAGATAAAATGACTTAGCCCACTAAGCACACTCTAAATATTTGACAGTGCTACTGCTGGTTTTGTACTAAGCCTTTCCCCCACCTTTTTCCGCCCCTTGTGATTTTTAAGACCTTGGTTGAGTCTTCAAGAAACATAATGAAATAAAGTGGCCATAGTAATGTCTAAACTATCACCATACCCTCATCAGCACAACTGCACTTACCAGCCAGTGCCCTACTGAAAAGGTACAGTAGCTTGTTAGTGAATGTCTAAGCATTTTTAGGCGGAAGCCAAAAAGATATAACAAACCCAGATATAGAAGCTTTGCATACAAATCTGAGCAACTTTCTTGGGCTTTGAACTTCTCTAGGTTTCTAGTCTTATTTTTAGGCTTTGCATCAACAGTGAAACTGCCTGGTTGCAAAGCACCTGTTATGTGAACCTTTGAAGAATACTTAACAACTGTTCATTTTGGATAGGTGTGCAATTGTATGTTTTTTGTAGATTGTTGTTCCTAGCATTCAAAAATTTTTTGTTAGGAAAAGAAATATACCAAAACATTATTGGTTCCAAGAGGACTTTCTAAAAATTACCTAAGCCATATGAGGATGGACATGCCCAGACTTTAAAATGTATATTGAGGGTTTTGGCTTTGAGAGTTTCAGAGCAAAACTTTTTGTTTTCCTTTATAATTCAGATGGATTAGCCTTGAAAGATTGTGTATACACTTATATAAAGCCTGAGTCAGGGTCCACTTCTTTCCTTCTGGGTCAGTGATTTTTTTATCAAGTGCCTTCCACAAGGGCACTCTATTCTAGTTAGCATCAGTGAGTGCTGTGTCCAGTTGATCTTTCCCATTTTAATGCACGCTGAGAAAAACTCAAATCACTCAAAAGAGACCGGAAAAGCAGTTAAAATGTTTGAAATGGAATGTATGAGCAGAGATGATTTTACCTCTCAAAGAGAAGGAAAGGAATGAGAACAGTGCTTCTGCCCAGATATTGGAGGGGTTTTGTCTTTTTCACCTTGCAATGTAGTAAAGGAAGGAGGGTTTCTAGGGATGGCGAGAACATGGGATTTGCAGTAACAGAGATATGGGTTTGATTTCCTGCTCTGCCATTTATTAGCTCCGTAACCTTGAACTAATATATTTATACAGTCACTCAATGAATATTATGTTCCAAGTGCTGGGACACAGCGGTTTAGGTTTCCTCACCTCTCTCAACCTATTTTCTTCCTCCGTAAATTGGAGCTAATAAATAGCACCTCCCTCTTTAGGTGTTTGTAACCCAGTAACACATACTGTTTACACTGTCCTCAGTGGAACTGACAACCCAAAGCCAAACATGTTGGCCCTGCCCTCACTTACCTGAGAGACTCTCAGGGTCTCAGATACAAAACTAACCAACTGTAATGTGATTTGGTAAGTGCCATTATAGGAGCAGGGACAAAATGTTTGGCAAAATAGAGGAAGAAATAAATTCACAGGAAATTCTGGGAGATTTGGGAAGCTTCACAGAGGAGGTAACATCTGGGCTAAGCCTCAATGGCTGAGGACATTCAACCTACAAAAAAACAAGAGTGAGCGAGAAGGACATCGTAGGCAGAGGAAGCAACATGAGGTGTAGGCATTCGAGTAATGTTCAAGATATTCACAGTGGCCAGAGCTAGTAGTGCTGAATGGTTGCTTGAAACCCTCTGAGGGATGCCTGGTACAGTGTTTTATGGGTCAGCTAGAGTTGAGAGGATTTCTCTTTTTTGACTTTATGCACATTTGTCAACAGTTATAAGTCCTGTATTATGCACACATCTTCTTGCTACTTACCGAGAAATTTTTTTAAATATATGAGTTTTCAATTTCATTACCCAAGTTTACCGAGTCCAGTTATGAGATAATAAGCAAGAGTCTCCTCTTAAGTTGTTTACAGTGCATGTGGGGAAGACAAAAGAAAATGGATGGTTTGGCACACAGGGGTGAGCAGTAAGGACTGAGCTGTCAGGGTGCTTTGTGAAGGAGATAATGCCTCACAAGGGCTTGAAGGAATGAATGCTAACTTAAGCAAGTGGAGAGGAAGGGAACTGGTAAGGAGTAGAAATAAGCAGGTATATTTGGAGACAATGCCCAGACTTAGTGGGCACAGGTTTTCTTTAAATGTCACCCGTGACTTTTAGGAGTGATGAAGAAAAAAGGTAAGTTAGATTTGGACTAAATCTTTGTTCCTGTATGATTATAGGCAGATAAATATGTGCAGGAGGCACCGGTTGCATGATTTTGGAATTCATGAAAAGTCCTAGCCGGATACAAACTTGGGAACTGTCAGCATACAGGTTGTTTTAAAGCCATGGACATGAGATTGAGTGAACTATCCCAGAGAGAGGGAACAGAGTGGAGGTTTTAAGATCAGAAAAAGAGGAACCAAGGAAGGAGCCTGAGAAGAAATAGTCTGAGAAGTAGGAAGAGAACCAAGAGAGAAAGTGTGCTATTTCAGAAGGACTACATGTTTTGTAGAGCAAAGAACAAGTCAACAGTCTCAACCACGGCAGTAAGGTCACATGAGGTGTTTTGCTATTGATCTGGCAAACGAGAGGTGACCTAGGTGAAAGCAGTGGAGCAGAACAGACTGGTGGTTTGAGGAACCCTTGGGAGATGGGTAGGGGAAAGCTGTTGGTGTGGATTACTCATTCTAGAAAGTGCTCTGAAGGGAAAGAGAGTTGTTTGTTGGTCGATTGCTAGGAGACACTTCCTAACGTGTCATCTTTGCAGTGAGCTAGGCCTAAAGCGTAGGTAGGGTCTCAAAGGGCGAAGCTTCACTGATAGCATTAAAGACAAAGTCATGGTGTAGGGCAAGTTTGAAGAAAAGCAAGTGTACTGTTTGGGCGAAATGCGGAATAGGGATGAGATGAAACTGGAAAAGCAGTTGGCAAAATATTGCCAAGGGCCTGGACAAGGCTGATCATTGTATGTGTTATTTGAGGGAACACGATCAAAGCTGTATCTGAGACACAAGCAGGACTTGAAACAAGATCTTCTAACTACAAGGCCTCTCTCTGGCAGTATACAGCAGAGTCGAAGTGCTGGTGTAATTCATGATCATACACATCTGTATAGCACTCACAAGTTACAAACTGCCTTCACCTTTCTCAACTGATCCCACCTTCCCAGCGCTTCTGTGGCAAGTAAGCCAGGCAATGTGATCTCCATTTGCATATGAGAACTGGAGAGCCAGTTTCATGGTTTACATCTCCCCAGGCCTTCTCTGACCTCCTCTGACCACTGAGGAGGTGACTTCCTGGGCTTTGCAGCTTAGATTTCTTGGCAGGCAGATCCAACATGGAGTCAGTGCACAGGAGGTTTGTTAGGGGGCGCTCTGGGGATCCGGGCCTGTGGGTGGGAGGGGAAGGCAGCAAAACTGGACAGCGGGAGAAGCAGATCTGCAACACGGTCTCAGGGGAGGTCTGGACTTTACCCAACTGGAAGTTCTAGTATGACCCCTCAGAGCCATCCTGAATCATTCATTCCTGAAGAGATCTCAGTGCAGCCCTGTGGCTACCACACAGCTGGGAAGCCTTGCTGGAAAGCCTCAGAGGTAGTTAACTTTAATTGGAACCCTTCTTTTATTGATAAGGAAATCTGAGCCCAGACGGAATAAGCAATTTGTCCAGGATCAAAAAGATACAGAGCTGAGACAAAAACCACATTTCCAAATTCTAAATCCCCTTCCACTTGCATGGTGTCAGGACTGCAGGCTAGACAGACAGATGAAGCAGGGTCTGGTTAGAGTACCGTTGACTTTCTGCCCATCTGAGATCTCAGAATGCAAATTTGCATGGCATTTTTTTTTTCCTTTTCGTGGAGGTATGCTATAGTCATAACCTAGCAGGTAACCTAACTCCCCTCCTGCTTTAAGTTTTCCTTAACCTGTAGTGAAAATATACCAAGGTGTTGGAGGAAATAACGCATCTAAATTGTTCCTCCATAGGGAAAAAGTAGGAGCTCATCATTCCTGTGAGAGTAGGTAGGTACCCTAGAGGCAGTACAGAAGGAGGGTGGATCTCTGGCCACCTCAGCGCGCCTGGGCCACACCCTCTGCCACAGGGATGCTTTTTGGAAAACTAGATAATCTAGGCACAGTGTTCTTTCAGCATCTGTAAGGGGAAGGCATTGTGCCAAAAATTGTGAGGACTGAGACATGTGGAACTTGCTCCCTGACCTCCAGAAGTGCACACTCTCATTAATGAGTCAAGATACGCACCTGAGAAGTTAGATAGCAATATGACGTGCTATATCATATTAGCTCTGAGTACCCAGAATGAACAGTAAGAAAGAATGGGACAGAGGGCAACAGGCAACAGCTAAGTTTTATTGAGAGGTTGCTATGTGCCAGGAACTATTCTAATAGTCCTTGCGGTTGGTATTTGTATGAACTTCATTTTCAGTGGAGAGAATTAAAATACGGTGAAGACAAGCAGCTTGCTCCCACTCAGGCTGCTGCAAAGTAGCCGAGGCAGGTAAGTGGCCCTACAGCCTGCCTGCACAGCTCCTTCCCCTTCCTGCCTCTCCATAGGCACCAGTGGGGATCAGTGGCCTGCTGGGTACCTTTTGTGGGAGCTGTGGTAAAGATAACTTGCTCCCAGTTCGCACCCAGGACAAGCTCGTTTCTAGATGCAGGATTTCAGAAATGTCTGCTGTCCGCTGTTTCTTGCATACCAATGACTTTTATACTGACTGAAGGGCGTATGTGACCTCGGGCAAGTTATTTAACCTCTCTGTGCCTCCGTTTCTTCATCTGTAGACTGGAAAAATAACTAGCACCTAGGTCACAGGATTGGATGAGTTAACAGATGTAAAGTACATAAAATGGGGTGTGGTCCATAGTAAATACTCCATACTTTCCCTTCAGAGTTCCCTTGTAGAAGACGTCATCAGAATTGCACACTAGTAGGGATGTGTCAAGAGATGTGCGTAGATGAAGTTTCCAGGCTGGCAGCTTATTGCCGCTGTGGTGGGAAATTGTCACCCCTGCCCCCACCTCCTGTCCTTCCAGTGACACTAGGGCAGAGCCTCACCACGGCCAGGGGGCAGCTTCTGCGGATCCAAGGAACAAGAGCTGGCCCTGCTAACACAAACACCAGTTGCTCCCAATCTTTTTTGCCTCTCTTCATATGTTGCTCATTTATAGGAAAGCATCTTTTTTAAACCACTGCCCAGCCAAAATGTAAGCATGCAGTCGCTATAGAGTGATACCTGTATAGGAAGAGGAATGACAAATGTTTAATGCATCCGCCTTCATCATTATGTAAGATACGATTGCCTGGCGGTGAATTCTGCTACAGAAAGAGCAGAATCTTTCCGTTTTCAGACGGCAAATCCTTATTTCCGGGGAAAAAAACTTGTTTTCATTACTTGGTAGTTCCAAATGTGGCTTTCATATACTTAGTCCCTCTTCATAGTGGACTAAGGAACTTAATGGATCCATCATTGATCTTTTCCTATAATTATCTGAGATGGTCTACTCAAAAGTGTGGTCGGGGGGCACGTGCTAGTCCACAAATTATTACTAAACTGCAAAAAATTAAGAATAGAACTTGAGAGTCAAGCACTTGGAAAGCTCTGTAGCAATTTGATCTAAGCCTATGATCAGAGGTCTCTTCCTGTTGAACGGACTGTAGGTTGTTTGACTGACAAACGCAAATGGAGAGTCACAGGTGGTGGAAGTTGCATGTGAGTCCTATGAAGTAAAACCACGTATCAGTATCTGGGAGTTTGGAAATAAAAAACCCTGGCCCTTCACCACGGATAGTTTGAGAAGCACTGCTCTAGGGGAATTACAGCCCTCCAGGTTGGTTTGAAATGCGGCATTTTGTTGGATACTTTTCCATTGGTCCTACTACTAATTGCTATATTAGCACTGGTGAACACTGAACAACAAAAGCAAAATTGTACTGCATTAGTTAGTGCAAACCTGTAAATAAAGAAGCAATATGGACTCAACCCACAGTTGCCCTTGTCATCCCCAGCTATTACAAGCATCTACCAGTGACAGATACACTCATGACTTTGTTCACAGAGATGCATGAGAAGTATGTTTAAAATGGGTAAATGAGGGGCGCCGGGGTGGCTCAGTTGGTTGAACAACTGCCTTTGGCTCAGGTCATGATCCTGGGGTCCTGGGATCGAGCCCCGGGTCGGGCTCCCTGCTCGGTGGGGAACCTGCTTCTCCCTCTCCCTCTGCCTGCCACTCCCCCTGCTTGTGCTCTCTCTCTCTCTGTCAGATAAATAAAATCTTTAAAAAAAAGTAAAATAAAATAAAATGGGTAAATGAGGGGCACCTGGGTGGCTCAGTCAGTTAAGCATCTGGCTCTTGATTTCGGCTCAGGTCATGATCTCGGGGTCCTGGAACCAAGCCCCACCTCAGGCTCCACACTTGGCAGGGAGTCTACTTGAGACTCTCTCTCTCCCCCTCTTCCTTTACCCCTCCCCCTGCTCGCTCGCTCTCTCTCTCTCTCTCTCTCTCAAATAAATAAATTAAATCTTAAATAAAATAAAATTTTTAAAAAAGCAGTAGATGATGATCATTTTTTCGCTGAACCACTCTTGGATTCCACAAATCCTTCTGTCTGTTTTCATTAGTTCTAGCCTGATACTTTTCAGCCCTGAACATATGGTCTCTTTGTATCTTCATGTCTTGGTGAATCATGGGAACAAAATGCTCTTAGCTTATATCTGCGCTTTCTCTTTCTTGCTAAAAGGTCTCTTTTTTTAAAATAGGAAAATATATTTGTTGATCGCTCAAGGATGGCCCCGAAGACTCCAATAAAAAATGAACCAATTGATTTATCAAAGCAAAAAATCTTCACTCCAGAAAGAAATCCCATTACTCCAGTTAAGCTTGTTGACAGACAGCAGGCGGAACCATGGACACCCACAGCTAACCTGAAGATGCTCATTAGCGCCGCCAGCCCGGACATAAGAGACCGGGAGAAGAAAAAGGGACTGTTCAGGCCCATTGAAAATAAAGATGATGCCTTTACAGACTCTCTGCAGGTAAACAGGCTGCACTCCTCAGGCTTTATAGAACTTTTAAATTTTTACTTGATTATTTAAGTCATAGAATTCTCAATTCTTCAGTTACTACCGAGCCAAAAGCAGTATTAAACTTCATGTCTTTTTTTTTTTTTTTTTTTTGCTATTGGAGTGATTTAATGGCATGTCAAATGTCTGTAATGGTAAAATACCTTTAGGTAGGCAGTATCTTTCATCCACAAATCCTTGCTATTTATAGATATGAAAATATATCAAAACTTAATATCTTATTTATAGCTGAAATGGAATTCTTACTCATTTTTTTCATAATGAATGCTTTTTTCTCTTCTGTATGCTACTCCCTTGACTATTCCCAGTACACATTTTAAGAATGACAGTTATTTAAGCAAAACTATTTAATAATTTTGATTTAATAAAGAAGATTGGACTTTTTTTATGCTGCTGCAAATTGTAATTTTGCTCCAATTTTGAGGGCAATAGTTTATTTTAGACTTGGGAAATTTCATTATTTTTATAGATGTTCGTTTCTTTGGTTTGAGGCCTTAAAGTTAAATCATCTTTAAATTATCTGCCCTCTGGGGAACCAGAGCTATTGAATAAACAGCATATCTATACTTTAAAAAAAAAAATCAGTGGCCAATAATTTTCACTCTCCCATCAAACTTCTTCCCAGATTTGCTAAGAAAAGTCAGTTATTTCTCCATTTTTCCTCCTCTCGGGGATTTTTTATGCTACAAAAATTACCAAAATGAAGAAATTGGGACAGGAGAAGAGAAAAAGATGTCCAGAATCTGGTTTTGGGTACTAAAAATATTATGTACATAAGTATATTTTATATGATCAGATATTCTATCCAAAGGTAGTAAAGACTCAATTTAAGGAAGATACTTCTCAGTAATTTTTAACAATATAAAGGGATTCTATGACCCAAAAGTTTGAGGACTACTGTTCTAGGGTACATATCTAGTAGTGAAATTATTAAGTTATTGGATATGCAAATATTCACAAAGTAATTGCTTTCCCAAGTGCTATTTTCACCCACCAATAATGTATGAACATTTATTGATCTACATCTTCTCTGACAGTTGATGCTGTCAAATTTATTAATTTCTGCCAATCTAATGGGTATACAGTTGTGTATTTTTGTGATATTCATTTGTTTCTCCGTGGTTACTAATGAGGCTAAGCCTCTTTCACATGTTTACTGGCCACCACATTTTTTTTTTCCTCTTCTGTGAAGTGTCTCTTCATGTTCTCTGCTGATTTTTATTGGGTTCTTTTTCTCCATGCTGATATGTAAGAGTTTATTGTATAGTCTTGAAAATAAACCTTTATCAGTTCAGTGTGTTACATTTCAGTCTGGTGCTTATCTTTTTTCGTGTTGCTTGTTGTAATCAGTTGTCCCTGGGCTATTTATTCAGTCCTTCTTTTTTTCCCAAGTTGGCAGGGCTATCTCTGTCATCTCTTTCTGGGCTCTCTTTTGTTCCATTGGCCAATCTGTGCATCCCTACATCAATACCAGATTGTAATAAGCCTTGATTTCAGGTAAAGCAAGACTCAACTTATTTTGCTTCAGAGTATGTGGGCTATTCTTGGCCTTTTGTTTTTCCTTATATACTTCAGTTGGATTTTAATTGGAATTGCATTACATGTAGATTCATTTGAGAAGAATAAACCTGTTTATGGTACTGAGCTCTCCTGTCCATGAAGACAGTATATTTCTCTAAGTTTTAAGTGCATTTCTCTAAGATCTAAGTTTTAATATTTTATGCAAATAGATTTTTGCTAGATTTGTTCCTAAAAACATTTCTTATATTCTTATTGCTATTGTAAATAATGTCTTTTCATTTCATTTTTCTGTTACTATATCCACGAATAGAGTTTATTACTATAATCAAACAGAACCAAGAAAGTAAACTGACATTTGGTTAGAAATGAAATAAAAAAAAAAAAAAGGGTCCAGGCCGTGCATGCGCTGAGCCTTCCTGTCGCTCTTCCCACCTGCCGCCGCCCCTCTCTGTCCTCTCTGCACCGGGAGCTGCTCTCCCGCCACAGCCCCTCCTCCCCTGAAAATGTACGCCTGTGCAAAGTTCGTCTCCACCCCCTTCTTGGTCAGGAGCACCGCTCAGCTGTTGAGCCGATCACTGTCAGCAGTGGTGCTAAAACCACCGGAGACACTGACAGATGAGAGCCTCAGCAGCTTGGCAGCCCCACGTCCCCTGACCGCACGTATTCCTAGCCGCAGCTTCCAAACCAGCGCCATTTCAAGGGACATCGACACAGCAGCCAAGTTCACTGGGGCTGGGGCTGCCACGGTAGGGGTGCCTGGCTCTGGGGCTGGAATTGGGACTGTGTTTGGGAGCCTCATCATTGGTTATGCCAGGAATCCCTCTCTGAAGCAGCAGCTCTTCTCCTACGCCATTTTGGGCTTTGCCCTCTCGGAGGCCATGGGGCTCTTTTGCCTGATGGTGGCCTTTCTCATCCTCTTCGCCACGTGAAGGAGCCGTCTCCACCTCCCATAGGTCTTTCTCCCATGTCTTGTCTGCCCTGTATGTTCCTTTTCCTATACCTCCCCAGGCAGCCTGGGGAAAGTGGTTGGCTCAGGGTTTGACAGAGGGAAGACAAATAAATACTGTATTATTAAGGAAAAAAAAATGGCAATGCAAGTGATTTTTGAGATACATTGTTTTGCCTTTACAGCTACCTTGCTAAATTCGCTTATTATTTTTAATAATTTGAGACACTTTTGAGTTTTATATATAAACAATCGTGTCTTCTGCAGAAAGTTTTGCTTATTCTTTTCTAATCCCTTGCCTCACTTTCTTTTTCTTGTCCTCATGCACTGGCTAGGATCTTCAATATGGTGTTGAAGAGGAACAGTGATAATGGGCATCTTTATCATTTTCCAGATTTTAAGGGAATGCTTCCAAGATTTTCCCATTAAGACATGTGTTTGCTGTTGGGTGTTTATAGATACACTAAAGAAGTTCTCCATTTCTAGTTTTCTGAGGGCATTTTTGAAAATCATGAATGGGTGTTAAATTTAGCAGATGCTTTTTCTGAAAGCCATTGAGATTATCATATCACTTTTCTCCTTGAATCTGTTCATTGAAAAGCCTTTTACTTTCTTGGGCTTGAATTGAGCCTTTTTCAAATATGGGTTGTTGAGACAAGGATACTACTTTAGCGTACTTGCAATAAGAAAGAATAAGGAAGAAGACTTAACTGCCCTTGTTCAGTTCCATCTACCCTTGGTCAGTTGTAAAAAATAAAACACTGGTGACACAATGCAGGCCAGTGGATCTCAGACTTCTATGTCAGTAGGAATCACCCAAGATCTAGATTCTGATACATCAGGTCTGATACAGCCTGAGACTCTGTGTCTCTAACAAGCTCCTGGTGATGCTGATCTAGTGAACACATTAGTAGCAAGGGTGTAACAAGCCATTCACAACTTCATTTTTCACTTTTGAAGCTTTTAACCAAAAGACTCACCCTCAAGTTTCAAAGGAGAAAAAATTCAGTCCAAAGAAAACAATCAGTAAAACGTTAAGAAAATTGGATTAAGAAATGTATTTTAACCAGAATCTAGCATGATACGGACAAGATGTCCCCCTCACTTTGCCAATAACTCTCATTTCCCTATGCATTTCTCTTACATTTTTCATGCAATTTCTCTATTGATGTTAACTATGACATCTCTCCCCTCCCTTTTGTCTGCCCTTTGTAGCTTGATGTGGTTGGGGACAGTGCTGTGGACGAATTTGAAAAGCAAAGGCCAAGCAGAAAACAGAAGAGTCTAGGACTCCTGTGCCAGAAGTTTCTAGCTCGCTATCCAAGTTACCCTTTGTCAACTGAGAAAACAACCATCTCCCTAGATGAAGTTGCTGTCAGTCTTGGTATGTATCATCAGATTACCTGCAGGCCTATCTCTAGTCACAGTGGGAAACCGGTTTCCTCTGGCAGGCCAAAGTCTTCAGATAGCTTCTCATTAAGTAAAGGATGGGCTCTGAATGGTAAGAACAGAGGAGCAAGCGAGCTTCCTCCTGTCATGAAATTTCTCATCCTTATGCATAGCATTCCAGGGAATCTTCCGAGCCGGAGGGTCAAACAGAAATTTTTTTTTTTGACCTCATAAAATATTTGTATAAAAAGACTCATTAAAAATTAATATCTCGTTTTTAATTTCAGACAGACAAAAAACATTTAAAAATGCCTTGCTGTTTATTTTTAATAATGCTTCTAGGAGTTCAGACCCGGTGTTATTTCTGTTATCAAACAGGATTTGAGAGCAAGAGCATTATGTTTGAAGCCGTATACTGTGATATTCACAGCAAGCCTGCCAAACGAGGAGAAGCACATCTGGACATAACTCAAACAGCTAAACCTTATAACAAAGAGGAGTGCGTGTGTTCACATGGCTTGGGTGTGTGTAATCTGCGGTGGTGTATGGCCTGTAAATAAGGCACAGTGGCCTCAGAATAGAGACCCCTAGTGGACATGGATTGCAGTTCATCTCAGGGTAAACATACTGTTGACAATCTTTAATAAGCAGAAATCACAGGGATTTGAAGATAGAAGGTGTCCCCTTAAAAAATAAGGAGGTTGTACATACAGAAAAAAAGAAAAAATCAACTAAACAGGCTGTATGATAGATTATATTTTTAATTTATTTTTTGGGTTCTCTTTCTTCCCATAGCCCTGAGAGATGTGCCCCAGTAGATGATTGTCAATCTGAATTATTCAAACTGATGGCTAAAAATATTTTTACCAGAAATGGAGATAATGAGGAAGCAATGGGTTATGATAGAAAGACCATGGGCTGGGCTTTGGGTCAGATGGGGTTGGATTTGAAGTTCAGCTCTCCAATTTACAGACCGTGAGAGTTTTAAAAATTAATTAACCTTTTCCTGTCTAAAACACAAGGATCACAGCACCTACCTTGCAGAAATATAGCAAAGTTGGGGATAATCTCAGCACCATGCCTAACTCAGGGCCTAGCATGGGTAACTGTTACTGTTACGTGGAATACTCTTACTAGATCACTCTCCGCCCTCCCCAAATTGTCCTCTCCACCTTTAGGAAGAGGAAGTATGGTGCCTTGGTTGGGGAACCCAGAAGTAGAATACAGTATTTGGCATCGGGGTCAATGAAACAAGAAGGGGAAGGTGACCCAGTTGTATAAAGGCTTAGAATACACCCATTCGAGGCACAGGGTCCTAGAAACTAGTCTTACAGAGGATGAGGGTAAAACAATAGCACACAGTGTCCTTCTCACTGGGGTTCATGAAGCCAGCTTTCTCCATGTACCAACTTCCATCCAGGGACCTTGCACTGATGTCAGTGTGAAGACAAAAGATTAGATGTCAGAAGGCTATGTTAGAGATCTGGGGGTTGGGGGTTCAGACAGGAAACTGGACTCCTATTCTCATGTGAGCTACAGATGCCCATGTTATGGCTGGTTGGAGCAGAATTCCAGAAATTTTTGCAAACAGCTTCATAATGCCTCATGATCACCCAGACCTGACAAATGAACTTACCATCTCTCTTCCTGTGAGGCCCAAAAACAGGGTCCCTTCTTGGAAGCTATTTCAGGGGTAACCATTTCTTGGGGTTGAGTCTAAACTCCCTACTGTATCCCAGGTCACAAGCTATAAGAACATATGTTAACCTAGAATGTTCAGAGCATTTCAGTCGCATTATTTCCCAGATTGTGGTCCCATGTAGATCTGACCATGGGTATTACAGGTAAGAAGTTAAAGAACTAGGGGTGCCTAGGTGGCTCAGTCAGTTAAGCATCCAACTCTTGATTTCAGCTCAGGTCATAATCTCAGGGTTGTGGAATTGAGACCTGAGTCGGGCTCAGCGCTCAGCAGGGAGTTGGCTTGGGATTCTCTCCCTCTGCCCCCCCACCCCCTGCTCGAGCACACTCTCTCTTAATAAATAAATAAATAATAAATAAAATCTTTTTTTAAAAGAAGTTAAAGAACCAGGAGTGACTTTAGTAAATGGACAATAGCACAGCCTTAGAAATGAGTTTATTGGGCTGAGAGATGTTCTCGATAAGCTCCATCGAGGACTAAGGAAAGCATGGTAATGACTGCTAAATCCTTGGGGGGACATAACTAATGCCATGACTAGGATTAATAAGATTGTGTTGATCCAAAAGGAAAAGAAGGCTGGGTGCCAGGAAAAACCTTCCCAACAGAGCAAGCCCCAGAGTAACCCGAAGATCTGGAGACCTGTGAAATAGAACTTTTCAGCGCACCAGCCAGTAGACAGTTAAACACAGTCCAGCTTGAAAAGATGATTATCTAGGCAGGCAGCTGCCACATTGGCTTTTATCAGCACCACCTATTAAACACCCATTGTGCATATTAAACATTCATCTTACCTCCAAGTGGTCAGAATATTCCTTTATTTTCCCTTCTTAGGATCTCTCTCCACTAGATGGAGATTTAACAGTTTGTGGCTAATACAAAATAACAAAACAGCCAGCATATGGCTGGCCCTGGGGTGTCTTAGTTGCATTCACATGACATTTCTAATGGGAAGGTTTATAGAATGTTACACTCTAAACGAGATGTGTTAATATATGAAAACAGACTGGAATAAAAAGCCAGGCAGATTTGGACAAGGGGCTGTACCTTCCAGCAGGCATCTGGCGCTGAAGCCTGAGCTGAGGGTGAAGAACCTTTCAGGGTCAGGAGCCGAAATGTTTTGATTGACTGTGAAATGCGTCTTCATGCATAGGAAAGAACTTTACTTCACCTCCAAAGTTTTCATCATAATTTGGTCAGTTTTTTCTGTTAAATCTTGGAAGGGCCAGAAGCTACGCTCACTCTCTGCTCTGATTATATAACAGCTCCTGGCAAGTGAGCAAAAAGAGGGCATCTTTGTAGCTTGACCAGTTTTCTGGGAGCTGCCTGGAGGCTTTTGCTAAGGGGACTTAGATGAGAGCAAAGGAGCCAGTGGGTTCCAAAAGCCTAAGGGCCTGTTGCACAACAGGATGAGTCAGAGGAAAGTTTTAAAATCTGTTTCTACTGTGACCTCTCATGCTAGCAGGGATTTTGGGTATTTCCAATGCTGTGCAGGAAGTATTTAAAAATAATATACAAACAGTAGATAAAAGTGACACCCTATTGTAGACCCTTTACGTTTATGGCCACATTTAATCCTCATCACCTTATGAGATAAATACTAAGGCACAGAAAGATGAAGTAACTTCCGAGGATCACACAACTAGTAAGGGATAGAGCAGGGTTGATTCAAATCCAGGCAGTCTGACCTCCCAAGCCTCCAGGCTTAACTGCTGTACATATTTTTGGTAAATGTGATAGACCGCTCATGATCCTGGCTATTTTGAGAGCGTTGGGAAAGTGGGTAGACAATTGATGAACTCCGTGGTCAGCCCGTATTGGACATGAAGAGTCTCTGTGCTTTACCGCTGGGCTGTTTGGGCCAAACGCCTGTGAATGGGAACAGAGGGACAGTTATCGGTGGCCAAGAGGAGCAAAAGGAAACTCATATGTTGTTCAGCTGTGGCTGTAGCTTCCTCCAGCAACTTGAGAAGGGTGCCCAAGCTCTTGACGCCTGAGTTTCCAATGCAAAATAGGAAACAAAATATTTGCCATCTGTTTTCCTAACTGGGCCATTAAGAGAGTTAACAAGATAATTATTTCACATCATTCAAACTCCGGGAAAGGATAGAATTGTCCAAATGAGGTATCATACATTGGACAGAGTTTATTTTATAGTCTGCATAATTAGGAATACAAGTCCAAATCAACCAAACAGTGTTCATCAGGGATCCGTTAGATACACTAGTACATGTGATGCTCAATCCGACCTGTTTTAACATGCTGAAATGTTTGCGTGGCTTTTCTAACAGGTCCAAAGAAAAGACATACTATTGTTTATGTAAGAGAGATGGAACTATCATCCATGTCTGGGTGGATGTTTTATCCTAGCTCTTGTTAAGGGTTGGATCCCAAGAATAAGAAAGAAAAATAATTTCTATTGCTTGCATCCTTATAGGTTGAACTTTTAGAGCATCTGCACTTGCTGGCCTTTATAATGGGCATCATGTAAAGTAGTTTACAGACACGGTCCAGGCCCTCAAGGAATTTTTACTCAAAAATGTTTGCCTGGATGACGGTCAACTTCTATTTTCCAAACAGGCGTTGAAAGGAGACGTATCTATGACATTGTAAATGTGCTGGAATCGCTGCATCTGGTCAGCCGGGTGGCCAAGAATCAATATGGCTGGCATGGCCGGCACAGCCTGCCAAAAACCCTGAGGAGCCTCCAGAGACTGGGAGAGGAGCAGAAATATGAAGAGCAGATGGCACATCTCCAACAGAAGGAGCTAGATCTGATGGATTATAAACTTGGAGAACGTAAAAAAGACAGCTATCCAGATTCTCAAGATCCACAGTTACTGGATTTCTCGGAACCCGACTATCCCTCTTGTGAGTGCACAGTAACCACACAAGTAATGGCAGAGAGGGAGGGATGGTCTCTTCCGTAGAAATTCACCGCTAAGGTGGGAAGCGCAGATTGACAGCCCTGGAGGGAGATGCCTTCCTCTTGGATCTACTGAAGAAAGGGAGACAGATGGCTCCCCGACTGGGCTTCCCCCTCAGCCTCACCTCAAGCCTGTCTAGTGGCAGTTCACTTGGTATTTGGTATGTTTGGACCATAGATCGCGGATAGTGCTCTCGTTTCAGACTGACGGCCCCAGGCTGATGTCTATTTGTGAATCTTTAAGGAAATTTTACTCTGAAATAAGTTATCCTTTCAGAGAATTCAATGGTTTTTTTTTTTTAAAAGATCTTATTTATTTGACAGAGGGAGACACAGCGAGAGAGGGAACACAAGCAGGGGGAGTGGGAGAGGGAGAAGCAGGCTTCCTGCTGAGCAGGGAGCCCGACGTGGGGCTCCGTCCCAGGACCCTGGGATCATGATCTGAGCCAAAGGCAGATGCCCAACGAATGAGCCACCCAGGCCCCCTGGGGAATTCAATTTTTTTAAATTACTTTAGAGTAGATTACTTAAAAAAGAACCCCGTTCAGAGAACATGTTGATAAGAAAGATAGATAACCCCTCCTGTCATTTGATGCATTTTTTTAAATATATATCTATATTGTTCTTCCCCACCCAGCTCCTATGTATCACACTCTTTCTGTTTTAACCATTGATCTCCATCATTCTCACCCTATTCCCCATTGCTAAGACGATAAAGTACAAGTATCACTCACATTTCACTTGCAAATATAATAAGAATGGAAATGTGGGCCTGGTTTTCATTAGATTTACTGCCTCATGCCTTTTAGCGCCACCCCATGAGCCAGTTCTTATCCTAATAACCAGAGGAGACAGCCATCTGTCGGGGATGGTTCACTTGCCATCTACAGCAGCACACATCTGATCAGTGTCTCCCATTCATTTCTAGCTTATTTCTTCACTTCCTTCTGAAAAGCAATGGAAGGGGCAAGCGCCTACTATGTTTCACATATTCTAGATATTGTGGGCACAGAAAAATAAAAACAAGAGTTCTTGCCCTTTGGGAAGTGTTGATGTTCTGAAAACAACCCCTGAAGTCTACCCTCTCCTTTTTTTTCTTCTACATTGATCTTTTCAAAAAGTTGCTTCAGGAAAACTACCTCATGGATTGTATCCTATGAAGTAGGAGTATAAAGCATTACGAGTGGTTTCAAATATGCCTATTGGAGAGGAGTTGTACAAGCCATAAGAAAATCCATCTCATTTCTTGGGGCACCTGGCTGGCTCAGTCAGTAGAACTTGCAACTCTTGATCTCCGGGTCATGAGTTGGAGCCCCACATAGGACATAGAGATTACTTGAAAAAAGAAAGAAAAGGAAATCCATCTCATTTCTTTATGAGCCATCTCTTGGTGATGTGTGTCTAGTAGGCTTCTGCCTGTAACCAGAGTGATCTTTGCATCTGCTGTTAGAGTTCGTAGTTCTGGCAAACCCCAAGTACTGTCTTTCATGTAGTAAATTACATGTTTTGATGCTTTCGTCTCATTCCCTTTGTAGCATCTGCAAACAGTAGAAAAGACAAGTCTTTGAGAATTATGAGCCAGAAGTTTGTCATGCTGTTCCTCGTCTCCAAAACCAAGATTGTTACTCTTGATGTGGCTGCCAAAGTACTGATAGAAGAAAGCCAGGATGCCCCAGACCATAGTAAATTTAAAAGTAAGTATCTTCACCTGAACCCACTTATCAGTACAAAAAGGACGGGATTTCATGTGTTGATGTTTTCTGCCTCTGACATTGAAAAAAAAATTGTTTTTTTTCTTAAGAAGTGCAGTCTTTCCTGCACTCATAAAGGTTCTTGGTGCCATGAGAGTTAAGTTAGTAAATACTAGAATTCCCATGAAAGTTCTGTCAGATGCCTTTTCCTCAGCAGTTAGAGGGGTTGGTGGAAGAGGAATGCCATCCCACAAACGCAGGTCAGGGAGGCTGGAAGATACTTTGCATTTCTCTTTAGTAGTGCTGCATCCAAGGCAGAATGTCTGAGTTTTCTTTCCCCTTCTTTCCTCACCCCCTGCCTACTGTCCTGATGGGTGGAGATGAAAGGTGTCTGCAGGTAAGAACCAGAGGAATGGCCAGGGCAGGTAGGGGTGGTGGGACAGAGCTGCTGGGCAGGGAGAGAGGTTCCAAGTTGCACACCCAGGGCCTCTTCTTTTTCTGTCAAGCCTGGGTGAAGCCAAATACCCTCAGCTGCCAGTAGCCCTTTCAAGCCCCGGGAAGCCACGAGCCAAACTTTCTCTGCTTTTTCTGTTTCCATTGGAATTATAGCCACCCTGTGGGAGAAGTGACTAGATGACATTCAGCTCTATCAGGATTGGGAAGAAGATTGCATCTGGGGTGAATGTTTGATGTTTCTGAACCATAATCATAGCTCCTTTGCTTGATCGTAGCCCCAAGGTCAAGTGGGTTTCCTACCTATAAATCGATTTCTTGAATAGAAATTACTTTGTGGGTATTGTCCTGCCTGTTGAACGCCTTACCACCCCTTCAGAATTTCTCCTCTAGTACCTGCATTTTCAAATGTCTCTCCCCAAACCTCGTAAGATTCAGGGAATGCCCATCCCACCCCTCCCCCACTAGGCGGCCAAACACCAGGATTCAGGTGAGGAGCTGCCTGTCTTGTCAGCAGAGCTGAACCTCATAACCTTGAGCCCCAAACCCTCTTGTGTGCCCAGGGGCGCAGCCTCACAGGAAGCTCTGGGGGATCCCTGTCATTTTCACAGGCCAGCTGCCTGCTCGAGCTGGCACCCACCACCTCCTGCTGAGAGAAACCCAGAACAAGCTTTTGACATGCCACATAAGCAGAATTACATTCACTAAGCCTTTAATTACGGCCCCTTTCCCTCCCTTGGTGTTTTTGCCATCTCAGCACTCCCCGCTTATCACCAGGTGCCTCTTACAAGGGGTGTGAAGTTGTGGAAGAGGAAAGACACACTGACCTTCCCTTAGAAAGTGTCTTCAGACACATCAGATACATAAATCCCAGGTGATTGCATGACAGAGCCGTCAGCCTCTGCTGCACCCCTTGGCTTTCTGCTGGTGGTTTATGTGGTGGCCAAGAAAAGTGACCTGTCACATCAACTAAAATGTAATGGTGTCACAGACAGCGTGACCATAATTGTGTTTTATATCTTTAAGCAAAGGTACGACGCCTCTATGACATAGCCAACGTTCTGACCAGCTTGGCTCTAATAAAGAAAGTGCACGTAACAGAAGAGAGAGGCCGAAAACCAGCCTTCAAATGGATCGGGCCTGTGGACTTCAGTTCCAGTGGTAAGGTCTCATGGTTTTGCTAGGCATCTATTTTATTTACGATCCCCAATTCCTGTTCCAATTCATGTATCTTCTACACAGTGGATTGATCTTCATTTCCCATAATCCATGTCACATTCAAAATTAGACTAGTGGTATCCCTCGGAACAATGAACGTTAGTCTGTAAGTGGTGTGTGCAGCGGCTCACCGCAGGAAGGGAAATCCTGAGAGCTTATAACGTGGGAGTTTCTGTAACTATTAAATTATAGCTCATTAGCTTTTTTCATTTTATTCCAAAGTTCCTGGAAGTTTGGGCTTGAGGATTAAAAATGACCATTCTTATGAGCTCTGATGGTTTCTGCATTAGCAGAATAAAGCATTGTTTTTCTTTGAAATTCCAGGCAATGTAAAAATTATATCAATTACTATCACAAAACTAATATGTGGTAAAGAGGGCTTCTGCATATGGTATGGATGTAATGAACACCTTTTTGGTAATTTATTTAACAGGTTACAAATGTCATAGTTTTACTAAACTAGAGCGAAAAGGGTATTATATTCTTAATTGACAGGGAATATCTGAGCAATTGAGGACAGGATCCTACTGTACCAGCACTTTACATATAGCTATGCTGCCTGGGAAAAAAAGCCATTAAAGTTATTTTTAAATTGCCCTTCCAATTTTGGTATTAGTGGCATAAATTCCTGCCACTTAACCCAGGCTTATAAAAGATATAGCTCTCTACCTCACTTAGAACACATTATTCACTTAGGATCTAGATGAAAGCACTTAAAATCAAGTAAAACTAATTCAACCCAGCACGTACTTACTGCACGTGGACCGTGCACAGTTACTATACTAAATGCCATGAGAGGTTTAGAGATGTGTCTGACACCGTCCCCGCCTGCATGAATTCTGCATCTTTGTCATTTTCCACTGCTCTGCCTTTGGCTTCTAGCCTTTTCACCTGTGAAGCCCTCTTCTTTTTCGACATGCAAATATTCTACTCAACTTTCAAGATCTGACTCAAATGTCAACTCCTTCATGCAGTTTTCCCTGGTCACCCAGAGCAAAGACTGTCTCTTTGGAGCTATTGCAATTTAATATTGTCCTGAGGTTTAATATTGACATGAGGTTGATATGTCATGCCATCATTGCCCCAGCTCTATGCATTTGAAGCCAGACTCAGTCTTTTTTTTTTTTCTTAATTTTTAACAACTGTATGAAGATATAATTCACATAAGATATAATTCACATAATTCATCAATTTGAATTTAGGACAGAGTTGTGCAACCATCACCGCAACTACTTGGAAAACGAAGTCACCATCCCCAAAAGGAGCTTTGTACACATTAGCACTTACTTCCCACTTCTCCCTGACCTCTCCCTTCCATCACCAGGAAAAAAAATTAATATATTTCCATCTCTATAGATTTACCTATTTTAGAGATTCCCTGTAAATGAAATCATACAATATATGGTCATTTGTGACTGACTTCTTTCACTGAGCACAATTTTGTTAAGGTCCTTTAACCTTAGGGTGTGTATCAGTACCTCCTTGCTTTCCATTGGGAAATACCACGCCGTCGGGGTGCCTGGGTGGCTCAGTCATTAAACGTCTGCCTTCAGCTCAGGTCATGATCCCAGGGTCCTGGGATCGAGCCCCACATCAGGCTCCCTGCTCAGCGGGGAGAAGCAGGCTTCTCCCTCTCCCATTCCCCCTGCTTTTGTTCCCTCTCTTGCTGTGTCTCTCTCTGTCAAATAAATAAATACAATCTTAAAAAAAAAAAAGAAAAGAAAGAAATACCACACCGGCATATGGATACGCCACCTTTTAGTTCTTTGTTCAGCAGTTGACGGACATTTGGGTTTTTTCTACTTTTTGGCTATTATGAATAATGCTGCTTTGAACATTGAGGTAGATGCTTTGATATGGACATCTGTTTGCATTTGTCATGGGCATATCTGGGAGTGGAATCGATGGTTCGTATGGTAGCACTATGTTTAACATTTAAGGAATGGTCCAGCTGTTTTCTGAAGAGGTGGATTCCTAGTGAGTTAAAAGCAGACTCGGTCTTTATTCATCCATGATTACCCGATAGTACCCACATCAGTGCTTTTACTCACTTTGGCTGGTTAGTGAGCTTCTATTGAAGGTATAATTAGCATACATTTGAAAATTAGAGAACAATTAAGCAGGATACACGGTGGTCCTGGCTCTTTGGGAACTCAGGATATGGGTTACGTTCTGAGGGACAAGACAGGTTTTGGAGGGAAGGAGACTCGCTTTTTAGTTCAAGGAACAGATACCTAAAAACAAATCTGGTGTGCGTTTAGAGAACAATCACCTGATTAAAGTGGAGGGCATGCTTTAGGGAATAATGAGACATAAAATGTGATCAGTTGGGACCACATTTTGGAAGCCTTCAAAATAAACCCAGAAATCTGTCCTAAATGTTATAGGCAGAAGTGACATGGGATCTTTAGATAGATTGAAAGAGAAGAGGGACTCAAAGGGGGTAGTGTCATTGAAGCGTGAACCAACTTTCTCTACCCAATAGAAACCTGATCTTTCTGTATATCTAATTTCATTACTGACAATATTATTGTCATCCTCAACCCAGCCATCAAATTTGGAACTTCAAGTTAACCTTTGATTTCCTTAATTCACTCTCCTTCACTCCTCCAGTAGCGATTTTTCACAGGTAAACTTAATAAATGTGTCTTTTCCTCTTCTCCTTCCCACCATCATGGCCTTTTCATCCTTTCACAGCTTTTTTGCCATCTTATGACATAGAATAAATGGCACATCGTTAAAATTACAATTTGGTAAGTTTTGCATTGTGTGCACCTGTGAAGTAATGACCACGGTCGAGATGATGAATGCATCACCTCCAGAGTCTCCTGTCCCTTTGTAATTCCTCCCTCCTTGTCCCCCAACCCATCCCCAGGGCAACCACTGATCTGCTTTCTTTCACTCTAGATTTGTACATATTTTCTAAAAAATTTTATAATTTTTTATATGCTCATTATTCAAAGTGCATATTTGCAAATGTACATACTAAAATTATTTGATAATTCCAGAATCAATACTCACAGGATTTTCTTAGTCATTCACAGACATGCAAAATGGCAAAAAAATTTGATTGACAACGCACCCGTGTTCCCAGCTGAGGTTGAACAAGGCAACACTCTGCCCTCTTATTTCTCATACTTGTTTCTACATGGCTCTCATACTGTAAACAAGTGTCCTTTTTGTGGTCTTTTTAGTGCCATGTTTTCACATTTTTGTGCTTTGTGTTGAGGATTTTGCTGTTAAAATGGTTCCCAAGCGTCGTACTGAAGTGCTAAGGATTCCGAGTGCAAGAAGGCTGTGATGTGCCTTACAGAGGAAATAATGTATGTTAGAGGAGCTCCATTCAGGCATGCGTTACAGTGCTGTTGGCTAAGAGTTCAGTGCTAATGGATCAACTATATATATTAAATAAGGCATCTTTAAACAGAAACACATATAAAACAGGGTTATGTGTTGATCAGTTGACAAAAATGTGACCAGAGACTGGCAGGAACCTAACCCTATATTCCTCTAAGCAATGGTTCAGTATGTACTGATTCAGTGTTCATGGTAACTTCATAGAACATAACTGCCATGAATAACAAGAACTGACTGGTAGTGTGTATACTCTTTTTATCAAATTTCCTTTGCTTGGCATATTTTCAGATTAATAATATTGTAGCATGTATCAATAGTTTATTCCTTTATATTGCTGAGTATCCCATTGTATGGATATATCATTCTTTATTCATTTACTTGTCGGTAGACAAGTGGATTATTTCCAGTTTTTGGCTGTTAGAAATAAAGCTAAATGAATATTCACGTACATGCCTTTATATGGTAGAATTCACCAGTGAAGCCATGTGGGCACCTTCAAATGATATTATACTATTTATATTGTATAAGAACCTTACAATAGCCTACTTTCATTTCTCCCTGCCTGGCCTTTGTACTGTTGTTGCCAAACATTTTACTGCTATGTATGTTAAAAACTACACGATGCATTGTTATCATTTTTGCTTTAAACAGTCTATTGTCTTTTAAAGAGATTAAATAAGGGGAAACAATTGATATCTACCCATGTAGGCACCATTTCTGGTGCTTGTCATTCCTTTCTGTGGATGTCGGTTTCTTTCCATCTGGTATCATTTTTCTTGGCTAAGTGGACTTTCTTTAACATTTCTTATAGTGCAGATCTGCCAGTGATGAATTCTTCCAGCTCTTCTATGTCTAAAAGCATCTTTATTTTGCCTTTTTTCCAGCTTTATTGAGGTATACTTGACATATATCATGTATAAGTTTAAGGTGTACAGCATAATGATTTGACATATATTGTTAATTGATTACTGCAATAAGTTTAGTTAGCACCTATTACCTCATATTAATACAATGAAAAGAGAAGAAAATTTTTTTCCTTGTGATGAGAACTCTTAGGATTTACTCTCTTTACAACATTCATATATAACAAACAGCAGCGTTAGGTATACCCACCGTGCTGGCCACTACATCCCTAGTACTTATCATGTAACTGGAAATGTGCACCCTTCTCCTTTGTTTTTGAAAGATATTTTCACTGGGTAAAGGATTCTAGGTTGAAGGTTTTTTCTTTCAGTATTTTAAAGAAGTCACTCCACTGTCTTCTAACTTTGATTGTTTTTGGTTAGAAATCTATCATCATCTTGTTCTTCCATATGTAATATGTCTTTTTCTCTGGTTGCTTTTAAGATTTTCCTTCTGACTGGTTTTAAACAATTTGATATGTGTGCTTTGATGTACTTTTCTTATACTTGGGTTTGCTGGGCTTCTTGGATCTATGGGTTGAAAGTGTTTATCAAATTTGGCAAATTTTCAGCCCTTATTTTTTCAAATATTTTTTTCTGTCCCCTCTTCTGTTCTTTGGAGACTCCAGGTGTGCTAATATTTGGCTGCTTGAAATTGTCCCACAGTTCACTGATGTTTAGTTTCTTTCATTCTCTTTTCTGTGTTTCATTTTGGATGGTTTCTATTGCTATGTCTTCAAGTTCACTTTTTTTTTCCTGCAGTGTCTAATCTGCCATTAATCCGCTGTATTTTCTTCTCCGGCATTACAATTTTTACCCCTAGAAGTTTGACTTGACTTGAGTTTTAATATTTTCTTTGTCTCTCCTTAATATGCTTAGTCTTTCCTCTGGTTTCCTGAATTCACGGAGTACAATTATATTACCTGTTTTAATGTGCCTGTCCACTAATTCTACCATCTGTGTCACTTTTGAATCCATTTCAGTTGATTTATGTCCTCACTGTGGGTTATACTTCCCTGCTTCTTTGTATACCTGATAATTTTTAATTGTATGCCAGACACTGAGATTTACATACTGTTGGGTGCTAGATATTTCAGTATTTCTAAAAATGTTCTTCAGCTTTGTTCTGTGATGCAGTGAAGTTACTTGGAAACAGTGAACCTTTCAGGTCTTGTTTTTAAGCTTTGGTAGACAGGATCATCAGCATTTAGTCTTTAATGCATTATCCCCACTACTGAGGCAATAATACCCTTTTTAATATTCTAACCAGTAATCCATGAATTAGGAGATTTTTCCATCCTGGCTATTGGCAATAGGCACTATTCCCAGCCCTGGATGAGCTGCAGACACTATTCCTTTTGCTCCTCTTAAGTGGTTCCTTTCCTGACCTTGGGTAGTCTCCTCACATGCATGAGTACTCCACTGAATACTTAAGGGGTGGGGGTGGGGGGGAACCTTCTGCAGATCTCCAGCATTCTTTTTATATGGCTCTCCTCTCTGGAGTTTTGACCTGCAAACTCTAGCTGCCCTGGCTTGCCTTGGCTTCCAGCTCCACCCTCAACTTGGGGAGACTTCCAGTCTCTGTCCAGGTTCCCTTCCCTATACTCCAACCTGGAAATATTCTCTGGGCAATAAGTGAGGGCAATCATAGGTCTCACCTCATTTGATTCCTGTCTCTAAGGATCACTGCCCTTTGTCTCCTGCTGTCCAGTATCTTGAAAGCCATTGTTTTATAATGTTTTGTATGATACTGTGTTTAAGGAAGGAGGGTAAATTTGTTCCCTGTTACTGTCTTGACCCATTTTCTTTTTGATTTTCTAAAAAGACCATTTTGGGGGGGTTTCGTTATGAGAAAAAGAAAACTGTAAAGGTGATTTTTTTTTAAATGTTTGTGTGTTTTAGAAAATGTAAGTCTAGCTTTCCATTTATTAAATTAGTCTTATAATTAAAATGTGCAAGCTTTGAACTTAGAAAAATCACACAGAGGAACAGGGTAGGAATGACTGAGCAACACAGACTATTTCTCTGTAGAAATACAGGCCTGGTTCTATCTAAAAAATTCTGTCCTGATTTTACACAGGCTCCTTTAAGCATAAAATGGGCCTCCAAGGTGCTTCTATTCTCACTGTTCTGCAACATTTCAACCATGAGGTTTTTGCTGACCTTATTCCCTTGGTCACTTAGTAACTGAGCTTCCTACTGCGTAAGAAAGACATAATAGAGCATAATAGATTCTTATACTCATTGCCATAGAGCTGTGGCCTAAGAGGCCGATCTCCATCAATGTTAAAATCTCTGAATATGCATGTTGGGCTGAGCATGGTTGTGTTTTCCTTTGATATCTCTGCCCAAAGAAAGCATCTGAAATGTCAGGTCCATTCTAATTTGGGTTGGAGAACATCTTGCTCTACTTTTGTTGCAGTTTAGATAATTTTAGAATATATATGGATTCAGTTTCACTTTACAGTCTTTTACTGACTCTTAAAAAAATTAGTACATCAGAAGAAATTGGGGTTTGAGATAAGGCTCCTAAAATTCCTTTGTCTTAGTTTTTGATTTATAGGGTAGCTCCATTACAATTACAGGCTCTCAAAGCTCTATCTTTAAAAGGCTAAAATTATCCTGAATTATAGCTATGTAACAACACTACCAATTCTCTCATTTATTTAGATGAAGAACTAGTGGATGTTTCTGCATCTGTCTTACCAGAATTGAAAAGAGAAACATATGGCCAGATTCAAGTCTGTGCAAAACAGAGGCTGGCTCGACATGGTTCTTTCAGCACAGTTCAGGCTTCTGAGAGGATCCAGAGGAAAGTGAACTCAGAACCCAGCAGCCCTTATAAAGAACAAGGTATCTGCCTTTCCATAATCTGGGGAATCCGTCAGCCGTCCTATAACAGTCACCCTACTCAGGCATTTTAAAATAAGCTGACTCTAGGCCCTGCCTGTTTTTTCCATTGACCTGAAGTGAAATGATGGTTGGGGGTAAAAGAGTTGCAGGCTTCCCAGGGAACGAACATGGCCCCATGCCTGAAATTCATCCTAGTCCACCAGCGAAGATCACCTGGTTTCCCAAGGCTGGTCTGTTTGATGCATGTCAGACATTCATCAGATTTACAAAGCAACACTTGTTTTGTTTTCTAATTATTGATGAGACCTGAATTCCTCATTAACAGCTAGCTTCTGGAAATTTCTCTCTTTGAATCAAAACCAGAATGGATTTGAAATAATCTTATAATCCTGAGCAGTGAATAACGAATCCAGCTGTATATAATTGGTGTGTATAAGTCCCCTGCCATATTTTGTTAGAGTTTTATTTTCCTTTATAGGATCAAGTGGCTACTCCTTAGAAATTGGAAGTCTGGCAGCTGTTTACCGACAGAAGATAGAAGACAGTTCACAGTAAGTAGTCTTCAAAAACTCTGAATGTATTTTTTTTTTTTTTAAGATTTTGTTTATTTGAGAGAGAGTGAGAGAGAGAGCCAGAGCACGAGCAAGGGGAGGGACAGAGGCAGAGGGAGAAGCAGGCTTCCCGCCGAGCAGGGAGCCCGACGCGGGACTTGATCCCAGGGCCCTGGGACCATGATCTGAGCCAAAGGCAGACCCTTAACCAACTGAGCCACACAGGGACCTGAGTGTATTCTTTTCTATTTTCTAGTGTTAACTTTGACTCCATTGAAATGCCCCCCATCAAAAGGTAAATTTTAGCAGTCTTGATTCTAAATTAGCCATTTGTTTATTAAGAATTTTCTAAGTTTCCCCTTTGCGCCCATGATTGTGCTGGATGTAGCATCATGGACACAAAAGTATGAAAAATGTATCCCCTAAGGGCACCTGGGTGGCTCAGATGGTTAAGCGTCTGCCTTCGGCTCAGGTCATGATCCCAGGGTCCTGGGATCGAGTCCCGCATTGGGCTCCCTGCTCCTTGGGAGCCTGCTTCTCCCTCTGCCTCTCTCTCTCTCTCTCTGTCTCTCATGAATAAATAAATAAAATATTTTAAAAAAAAATGTATCCCCTAAGCTAATGAAAGCTTATGGGGGGAAAAGTAAAAACAAATACATTGAAAAAAGACATTTCACTACTAACATGGCCCTGAGAACTGATGATTGTAGTTCCTGGAATCACTTATGATCACTGTAGCTAATTTTGTTTATGAGCCACCAGGTCCCGTTCTGAAAGTTTTATGTGTATTAACGCATCTAATCACAACAACAGTCATTTGAGGTTGGTACTCTTATCTTCATTTTACATAAAGGAAACAGAAACCCGAAGAGGTTAAATAACTTGCCCAAGGTCACAGGGCTAAGTAGTGACAGAGCCAGGATTCAGACCCAGGCCATCAGACTCAAATTTTGGGTCTGATTTTGAAGGAAATCAAATATTATGGGAAGAAGCAGAGGAAATGCTAATGTGGGAACAAGAGAGGGTTTTTTTGGTTTTTTTTTTGTTTGGTTGGTTGGTTGGGGTTTTTTTTTAGATTTTATTTATTTATTTGACAGAGAAAGACACAGCAAGAGGGGGAACACAAGCAGGGGGAGTGGGAGAGGGAGAAGCAGGCTTCCCTCAGAGCAGGGAGCCCGATGCGGGGCTCGATCCCAGGACCCTGGGACCACGACCTGAGCCAAAGGCAGGCGCTTAACGACTGAGCCACCAGGCTCCCCACAAGAGAGCTTTTTAATGACAGATTTGGGAAGAAATAGACTGTGAGGCAGGGTGAAGGGAGTACGGGGACCATACACTGATTAGTTTAGCCATAACGATTTGTACGAATAGGATAGCAAATGGAAACCTCATTCATAAAAAGAACTCGGGGTGTTAGAGGTGAATAGGTCAAATTGGGGGAAAAAAAGAACCCTTTGGAAGCCAGGTAGAAGAAGAGTTTGGGTTTATGAGACAGACAATAAAGACCTACATCAAACTTACTGGAGAAGAACACTCTTGCTGCTTGAAGCAGGTGGGAAGGCGCATCTGCAGCCATTCTGGTGTGAGGTGGTGCAGGTCTGAGTCCTGTCAGCTGCAGATGGAAAGGAGTGGAAATCAGTGTAAGATAGAAAGAGACCTCACAAAGGACACCTGGGTGTCAGATGATGGTGCTACTGTTGGTGGAGATGGGGAGGTTGAAGGTGGATGACTGGAGATAGGACGGTGGGGGATATACTCAGTGTGGGTATTTTGAGCTTCACAGAGCTGAGCAGTAGTGATTTCTCATTCAGAGGGACTGTGGTTAGAGAGATTTACTCATCTCTGCAGCCCAGGGCCTTCCATTTGATTCCCAGCAGCACGTGGACAAAGAGACGGGGCAAAATAGGTCTTACTGATTCCATCAAAAAGGTTCAAAGAAATCCCTGTCCTCTGTTTACTAGTTCTTAAAGGAGTGTTAAACAGGTTTTCCTCATGTTTCCAAAAATACACTGAAAACATAAATGTTTTTTAATATTTAGAAGTCTTTCTGTATAAAAGGCCCAGACATTGTTTATAATCTCATATATTAAATAGGGCTTAATTTTGAACATGTTGTGCCTAAAAATTGGAATACTGAGCAGAATGGGACAAGAATGACAGAAAATAATTTAGTAGGTAACTTTATTTCCTCACTCACTGCCCACTCCATTTATCTCACAGTGGATTTGAGACACACCAGATGGGTCCTTTAAATGAAACTCTGGTCCAGTCTCGGCTACCTACCCAGGACATCACCCAGTGCCTGAGTGTGAGGCCCAGCTTCCTCACATGCAAGCGGTGCGGCTAACCTTCAGTAGGCTGATTAGTCTCTGAGCCTCACTTTTCCTCCCTCGTCAACTGGCAGGGGATAACTATCATAATTATGTAAAGTTAGGATTATGTTAGTCATAGGGCATCTGCGGGCCTGCTATGGTAGCGGTCACCATCAGTATGTGACTGATAGCTATTAGACGTAGAGGAGGCAGGGGAGAGCCCGCGTGAGCTCTAACCTGAGATCCCCCCAAGCGCTCACCCACCCCCTCCCTAAGCATCCGTCCAGGTTATATGGTTATCTGCCTCTGGAGTTAGCTAATAGGTGCTCAGGGGGCACACTTTAGTATCAGCTCGGGCAGCATTATCTCATTTCTGCTTTGATACATCTCTCGGTAGGAAGGCAGAGAATCAGGAGCTGGTGGAATGTGATAACTTGATGGGACCCATTATGTTCCTTTTTACTGCAGGAGGAAAGCCTTTGCCAGTAAGAGAGTGATGCCTCCGTCAAGCAGCCTGGACCCTGCTGCTCCTTTCCCTGGCCTGTCTGTTGACTCAGAATATTGTGCTAATCCTTTAGCACACCAAGTCTTTTCTGTGGCCCAAATGGACCTGCAGGCCTTCCCTGTGCAGAACAGTCTGACTGGACAAGTGGGTGTCTCACCAGCTTCTGCAGCCTCGGACGTGGAGAGCCTGAAACCAGCCCTGCTGGCCAGCCAGCCTATGGTGTACGTGCCCTCCACCTCACTTTTCATGCTGTATGGGAGCCTGCAGGAGGGACCGTCCCCGGTTTCCGAGAGGGACAGCAGAAGCGCAGAAGTCTCAGCAGCAAAGCAGCCATCCACACCCTCAGTTCAGAAGCGCCTCGGGGAGGAGAGGAAGCCTCAGGAGGAGGAGCCAGCCACTAAAAGACAGAGCAGGGACTACGAAGACAGCCCTCTAGCTCTTGTCATGCCCAAGGTAAGGGAGTTCAGATGGGCATGCTTCGTGACATCCCATTAACCCAGAGTTCCTTCCCAGTAGAGATGCACAGATGCTAATAAGCTGTTGAGTCTGGAATGTGACGTATTTCAGGTATCACTTGTATAATTAAGCCCGGGACTGGCTCTGCCATAAAATCTTGCCATAAAGTAGTACTGTAAGGAAAGAGACTTTTCTAAAACTCCTACTTTGTGTAAAATGCTAAAAGGTGTAAAAAAAGAGACCCATAATCCCACCACATAGAGTCAATGACTGTTAACATGTTTGTATATTTCCTCCCTATCTTTTGGCTCTCCTTTTTTTTCTTAAACCAGTTGAGATCACTAACATAACCATCTGAATCCAGGATGCACCTGAGCTCCAGAGTCGGCAGTGTGGGTGCTGCTGGTCTTTCGGTGTCTGTGTCCGTTATCACGGCTCAGAGATCCTGTTTCCCCAGCTACAAAACGAAAGCAACAAAAATATGAGCTGTTCACATCTCCCACTTAGTAGCCTTTCAGAGGTGAATGAGATCTGACCAAACTCTCAGGAAGCAGAAGCACCATCATGATAGCAGTCTGTGCTGGATTCGCTCAGCACACTCAGGGATATCAGTATATTATTGAGGACCCTTTCTCTTCTGTTCCTTTCTCTTGCCAGAGCGAATCTTTGTAATTTTGTGTATAGCCTGGGGTTGCAGAACAGCAGTGAAGGACTGACTGGTATATATAGGTCTTAGATAACCAAGGCTGGCTTTGGGCCAGTTCCGCAGTCCTTACTGGGCCAAAGACTGGCATCCACACCCTTTATGTGTTAGCAGCTCCGAAATTTACCTCATTGTCCAAACACCACAGCCAGTCTGTCATCGTTAAAACTCCATCATTTCTGGGGTGCCTGGGTGGCTCAGTCGTTAAGCGTCTGCCTTCAACTCAGATCATGATCCCGGGTTCCTGGGACCGAGCCCTGCATCGGGCTCCCTACTCCACAGGAAGCCTGCTTCTCCCTCTCCCACTCCCCCTGCTGGTGTTCGCTCTCTCCCTGTGTCTCTCTCTGTCAAATAAATAAAATCTTAAAGAAAAAAAACCTCCATCATTTCTATGCTTAAGAATCCTAAGCTTATGGAAGCACATGACGGGACACTGATTTTCAGACATATACAATTCTGTGTGGCACGCAGTGGTCTTTGACCTATTTGTTTATGTATTAGCTATGTCGAGAAAGCTGCTATCAAGATTTACCGCTGGGATTTTTACTTGCTTTTCTGGTTCTGGTTGGCTCTGCTTAGAAACCCTCAGAGTCCACAGACGTTGCCTCCCCCAAGACCCCAGGTAACAGAGGCTCAGTGACCCTCGAAGACATTCACATGGAGGCCCAAGTCTCGGCTGCAGAGGAGGCTTCGGGAAAGGCCACGGTCAACTGCTTCATTTCTTCTGAGTGGGGAAATCCTCCGAGAGACACAGAGATAGAAAAGTCTTCAAAAGAAAATGAAAGCACCAAAGAGCCCTCTTTGCTGCAGTACCTTTATGTGCAGTCGCCAGCTGGTAAGGGGTGTCATCATGTCTTAGGGCCCCTTGGGGTAGTCAGATCATAAATTAGATTTTTACATTTTTACATTTCTGTCCATGTCACCCGACCAAAGTGCTTCTTCAGTGAGCAGCTGTCTGCACAGCCTCTGAACCATTTCACTCTCAGCCCTTGTCTTTTCTCCCATCTATGAAATGAAGGTGGAGGCTGCTTTCCCTTCAGCCACCTCGAAGGACACTATGAAAATAATTAGGGCAAGTGATTTTTTTTTTAACACATTAAACTTTATTTGCTAAAAAAGCACAATTCAAAAGATCATTCTGTTATTATAATTCAGCAGAATCTGGCACTGGTTCAGTTTACTGAACAGTATGAACCTATTGGCCACCATGTACAGCTAGTGTGATGTTTTGAATATCCAGAGGTCCTGAGCTTGCCACTGTGGTCGAGGGCCAGGTCTGGAGAGGGCTGGACATTAGGGCCCCTTATTATCTGCGTGAACTTTAAGTATTCAGCCGTCTTCACTGGTAAAGCAGCACTAACAATGGCACCTGTGTAGCGGGGGTGCTTTCAAAATTGAACTAAATTTTATAAGGTAATACATCTAAAGCACTTCGGATAATAGTGCCTGACAGTAAGACTCAAACGCTGTCAGTTTTTGAAATAAAGGTGAAATACAATAGATCCCTAATTTCTAAGACACACATTGTGTACATAAAGCTGCTATCGATGCAGAGAGACTAAAATTGATTTTCCCGATTTTCCATTCACTTATAGATTAGGTAGGTGTTATTATTCAGTTATCTACAAAACATTCTTTATTCCATTAGCAAATACTTTTTGCAGGTTTAATGTAAGCATGATAGTCATGCAGATACACTGATAAACAAGAAACAGGTTCAGTCCCTACTGAATGAAAATGACAGCCCAGCACAGGGAGTATTAGCTTTTTCTGGGCCAAAGACCTATTGACATTATGGTAAAACCCGTGGATTCCTCCTCAGAATGTTTTTTAAAAATGCATAGAATTAAGTACATAGGATAATAAGGGAAGCCAATTATATTGAAATATTGTTAGAAAAAAAATTTTTTAATTATAGTAATAAAAAGATCTGACAGTAGTTCCAGTGTTCTCATGATTTCAAAGTCATAATGAGCTTCACAATCTAATAAGAATCTGCTGTAGCTATAATGTTATATGAATATATATGTGCTTTTTACTAGTGACAAAGTCAAGGTACTATTAATATTGTTGGATTTGTTGCCTGTGATCCAAGTTGAGGGAAATATAAATTTGTTAGAAGTTTATAAAAATAAAAGATAAAATCTTTCCAATCCAAGTTCACTTTCCTCCTCAATTTGCATTCAGTGGAACACACATTAATTGACCCTCTCAGGAGACACAGGCATCCACCACTTTATCACACAAGGGGATGTGGGACTTCACTGGTGGCCACTGCTTGGGAGAAGCAGTGAGGGTGGGGAGAGCATGGGAAGGGGGTTGGCCTGGTCAGGTAGAATCCATTCGTTGTGGGTTCCCACTTGGAAGGGCGGCAGGAGAATGTGAAACTGTTATGGTACCTACTGTTGTGTTGACTTTCATCTTGGTCTGCTTCTGTTTCAGGATTAAATGGTTTCAATGTGCTCTTATCTGGCAGTCAGAACCCCCATGCCATGGGACCCCCTTCAGGTCAGCTGCCATCCCTCAGCATTCCTTGCATGGTCTTACCATCTCCGACGCTGGGCCCTTTCCCCGTTCTCTATTCTCCCACTATGCCCAGGCCGCTTTCCTCTGCCCCTGGTGCTCTCCCAAATGCGGGACCTGTGAATTTTGGCTTGCCTGGCCTTGGATCAACAGCTCATCTTCTCATCGGCCCTGCAAACATGGTTAATCCAAAATCATCAGCACTCCCCTCCGCAGACCCTCAGCTTCAGGGTCCCTGCTCACTCAATCTGAGTCCGGAGATGCCAAGATCACACAACATCATCCAGCCTGAATCCCCTGCGTATGCAGGGCAACCTGTCTCCGTAGCAAAATTACAACAGGTGAGCCCTACTGTGAGCCCAGGAAGATCATCATTCTGTGATGGGGTCAGTATGCATTTCATGAGCTTTGCTTTTAGTCCCATGACTGCAGGGCAGAGGCTCCAGGTCAGGGTCTACCCAGCTTCTGTCGTAGACCCAGAAGTTATCTGCTTACTTTATAAGGCATGGAGGCTGGAGGCAGGAGATGCTATGCTTTAAAGATAAAAATATTTTTTAGTTGTCAATCTTCCTTAAAATTAGAGGGACTTATTTTAAGGGTAGTTCAAGGGGCTGCTGATGAATGCTGAATATTCAGATGATTTCTTCAGGTTTTCATTTCATTAGATGAATAAAAGGAGAGCACCATGAATTTTCATTGTACAGCTATAGAAACAATTCAGGAAAACAGAAGTCTGGATACTAATGCAAAGATTCCTAGCATCTGTCATTTCTCGAAATGCAATGTTTAGGAGGCTATACACACACACACACACACACACACACACACACACTCAAACACACAAATGTACATATATGAATTTTATAATCAATATTAATTAATCAGCACTATATTTCCCCCAAACTCCCATTTGTACTTCAGTCAGTAAGCATGTGTTGATTTCCTCTTATGCCTCAGGCATTGTTCAGAGTGGTTACTTTCTCTCATGGATAAAGAGTTATACTTTGTGGCCAAAAATATTTTAGACAAGTTAGAGGCTCACAAGTTTGCTAGATGATGAAATTAAACATGTTAGTTTTTAAACAAGGTGATGATAATGTGACATGCTTTCTGATTACCAGTTATGTGCCAGGCACTCATGCAGGCAGTGAAGATAGGACAGTAAATAGAATAATGGTCCCTGCTCTTTTAGGGCACATTAAGGAGATCAATATGCAACATTTAACACAAGAAGATACAAAGTTGCAAGTAAACAAAAGAGCCAAGACACACATACTTACTGTATGCTTTGCTTTGCATAGTCTAAAGTGCTTCATAAATATTACCTTTTCTAATTCGTGCAGCCCTGTGAAAGTCGTCACTTTGTCACCCCCATTGTATGGATGAAAACACTGAGGGACAGCGTGGTTAAGTAGCTTGCCCAAGGTCACCCAGCTAGTTGTGCCAGTGCCACGCTCCCAACCTCTTCACTAGGCTACCTTTCCGCACACAAAACAAAGAAGTGAATTTCCAGTTGTGAGAATTGTTGGGGAGGAGATAAAGCAGGCGAGTGGGACAGAAAAGCGAAAAGAAGGGGAACGCCTGCATCAAGATCGTACTGACACAGGTCAAGAAAGGGCTTAGTTCGGAGGCCGAGAACGTTTGACTTCACTTCTGTTTTTACTTGCTCTTTTAGTCCCCCATTCCTGTGACCCCCAAGAGCATCCGATGCACACATCGCGAGACATTTTTCAAGACACCTGGCAGCCTCGGAGACCCCGTCCTTAGGAGAAGAGAAAGGAATCTGACACGAAACACGAGCTCAGCGCAGAGGAGACTGGAAATCCCCAGCAGCGAGGCTGACTAACCTGCCGCCGTGCCAGGCCGGGGTGGGCACTAACCTGCCACCCCGTTCCAGGTGATGCCCTGACGCTGAATGCAAAGCGGGATGCAGACCATCGTCTGCACACATCGTCCTCTCTTTCACCTACCAGTTCTAATGTTAACTTCCCATCACCATGAATCATCTATTTTCCTGAAAGCAATTGTTATTTGTGCATTTAATATCAGTTAGAGTCCAGACTCTGTGCGTGGTGTCACAGTGAAAGCACCGACTGACTTTTATGGTTTTGATGCAAGAATCCTCTTATTGCTGGAAGTCGATCTGAACAGGCTACTGGAGCCTTGTGGTTTTTCTACTGGGGGAGCTGTCTAGCACTTAACTAGGGTGAGCATTCTTGGTTTTTCCCCCTCGCCCTGAGTCTAGATCTGTGGTGAGAGAAACTTCTTTTCTGCAGTTTAAAAAAGCTACTGCTTCCTTAGGCTTCATCAGGAAGCCGACTCCAGTTGTGAATCCTATGGTATTTATTTTGTTCCTGAAATGGGATTTAGTGCAAAAAGTTTACAACTACAGCAAAATACATGTTTTTCAGGGTATGACGACTTGAATGTTTGTGCTTTTTTCCTCTAATTTGCCCTGCACTTACTTTACAACCTACTAATAATGTGGATAAATGTGTATGCATGACGGAATGTTACGACCAAAATAACTGTGAATGGCCCACTTGCTATAATGAACTGTGCTGAGCCTGTCTGGGCATGAGAAGCAAGATGCATGCTAGCTGCCTAAGAGCTGACCTGTGTGAACAATAAGGTTTTACTGTTCATTTGTAAAAATACTACCCTGTGCAGTTTCCTTCACTATGTGCCCCGTGGGTTTTTTTACTTAAATGTTAACTGTAGAGTATCAGGTATGGATGCCTTCGAAGAATTGCTGTCTATTGAATAAATCAGGATGGTAGCAAGTGATTATAATTGGAACCTGGATGGGACCCTTTGGTAGAATTCTGAAGAGTAATGATGTAGAAATTGATATAGTTCCGATAGGTGATCATTTTATTTTTTCCTTTGGCTTTTTTTCTTTATTTGTGGAAGGTAAGAGGGAAAACGAACACATTATGTTCAATATCCAAGAGTATTCAAACCAGTTATTTTTCAGAGCGTTTCTGAAAAATAAGAACGGTGAGTGCAGGGATTCATTGTTCTAGCATGAGTACAATTCTGGAAACTATTATGCAATACCCCTTTGTTAAACCATATTGCTTTAGGATTTCAGTAAGTAGCCAAACTAGCTCTTTGTATTCCTAGGTTTATTGATGTACCTCATTCTTGTCTCTTCCAGCAAATGCCTTCCTCTCTCCCTTCTTTTCCTTCCCTCCTTCCTTTCTTCATTCCTTTCTTTTTTAAGCTTCTGTCTTAGATTTGGAATCTTGGTGTAGGATTCTATTTTTATTTTTGGACCCAATAAAATGTTATATGAAATAAAAATATTAATTTAAGAGACTCTGGGAGTCTGAGTAAAGTAGCTTTATATTAACTACAGGATACTATTAGCCTTATTACCCCCACAAGATTTTTGAAAACTTGAGGTAGGTAGCCAGATTAAATAAATTTGTTATTATATAAAATTTTTATCAACACTAAACTTTTAAAGTTTACAAGATGGCATTTTTTATCTTTTTTTTTTTTTTACAATCTTTTCTAGTGTTAAACAGATAAAATTATGGTTCTAATCATCAACAACCTCCCAGTAATGGTTACCCAGAGTTAATATGAGGAGTTCACCTTGAAACAAAAATATGCCTTTTTCAGTGAAAGTACAGGACACACAGCATCCTTATCTGCACAGGGTACGTGCGTGTTTAAATCCACCATGCCTAAAAACTTCCACAAAATATTTTCACTTGAGAGGTCTACATTTAGATGAAATCACAATCTGATTTCCCCACACTGTTTTTGGATGCTCGCCACTTACTACTTTAACTTCTTTGCTATCCTTTTTTTTTTTTTTTATTCTGTTCATGATATGACCATATAAACCTCAGAGAATCCACGGTTCTTGAGGGGTGTTAAGAAGCAACCCCATAAATCAGAATTTTATGACTCTGTGACCATACTCAGCAACAGAAAAGAAAACAGAGAACCAATTCCTTTTGTATTCAGTACCCACTTTTTAATGTGGCTTTGTGATGTGTAAAAAGATAAAAATAAAATAATTCAGGGGTTTTCTGTCGGGAAAACCGTATGCTTCTGATAGAGCAACTGATGGGAGTGAAGCTGCTAAGCTAGACGTGGGTGTTCGGGGTAGTGAAGAAGCAATGGCAATCTTGAGTCTATCATTGTATAACTTAGTAACAGACAAAAATAACTGTTGGGGATCCTGCTAAGGAAATTCAGCTTTGCGTTGGCACTGAGGGAGGTGTGTGTGCCCTACACTGTCCAGGGTTTGTGAAACCCTTTCATTCTGGTACAAGAGTTGGGAGTATAACTTTTATACTTGAATCTACCTACCAAGTTTACATATTTCTCAATTCTTTTTTGTAAGGTGCTATTTCTGTATTTAAATAACTTTTTTTTTTCAATGTAAAGCTGCTTTCAGCTAATCTTATTGCACTGCTAGTTTTTTGTAGGTGTTAATTTTATTGCTGCTTACCGCTTTTGTCTTCATACTATTTAGGTTTGCCCTTTTTTCTCGTGGCTATATTATCTATAGCTACCTACTTGTAACTTTACTACATGTAAACTGATTCTTTTTTCTTTTAGAAAGATATTAAGCTTTATGAAATAGCAATAAAAATTCATTTCACAAGAGAGGTTGGTTGTATTTGTTGGTAGGCCGTGTGTACCAATTTCAGCAAAACCTTTAACAGTTGCAGCACAGCAAACCAGGCCCTCATAAACCCAAACCAGATCTTTTTATTGAGACCTCCCGGTAGTTCCCAAACACCAAAACTTAATGTGTCAGAATTACACAGGAGCTTGAAAGGGTAGGAGGACGATGCTCTGGAGCTTCTGATTTCTACCGAGTCAGCATCTCAGGTTCGGAGCTTCCAGATGATTCTGAGGCTTATCCACTTCTAAGAATCACAGGTAAATGTAGACCACTTCCCCAACTTTTCATGACATCTGCAAGGTTAAATGCTTCTCATTCTAGCAAATGCCTATCCTTAGTTCAGAGCCAACCGAACAGACCTCATCTGATTTTCCCTACTTTGTTATACGTGCAGAGTCATTTAGGTTACGTTGGTGTTGGTTCCTCCTGCTAAATTGTGAGGTACTAGGGAAAACACTAGCTTTGAAATCCAGTATCAAACCCAGTCTGGGAACTCAGCAGCCCCCAAAATGGTGAACAGAGGAACCACAGGACCCCGAACAACAGGGCTTGCCCTTTCACTAGGGCTGTTCAATTCAGCTCCCACCAGTCATTTTACCGTGACCTCTTCCGACACATCACTTCCTGTCCCAGTCCATAACCTCCCTTCTCACAAGGCGTATACAGTTGACCTTTGAACACCACGGGGCTTAAGGGGCGCCAACCCCTGTGCAGGAAAAGTCCAGCTTAACTGACTCCCCAAAAACATAACTTCTAGTAGCCTACTGTTGACCAGAAGCTCTACCAATAACAATGCATTTTATATAAGTACTGTATATTGTATTTTTACAATAAAGCTAATGTTAAAATCATAAGAGAAAATACATTTACAGTACTGTATATACCGAAAAAAGTCCATGTAAGTGGACCTGCACCGTCCAAACCCATGTCATTCAAGGGCCAGCTGTATGAGATAACTCAGGATAAATCTGCTTCTACACAAACACCAGTATTAGGATCTCCCTAGCATACCTTTAGTGGTATATTATAATACGGGGTTGTGCTGTTATTACAGGCATCTACCAATATCTTCTCCCATCCGCCCCTCCTTGTTGGTCTTTAATGGTGTAAGTACACCGAACAAGCAGGACTCATGAGGTAATCATGAAAGCAATTTTGTCTCCTGGTGTTCCTTTTAAGCCTAGTCAACAGGGGTAACCCATTCACCCCTATATGAACTTTAGGTCAGGTGCTGTGACCTCTCTAGTTACTGTCAATAACAGAAATTGCACATTTTAGGTTACAAGAACAGCCTCAATTTATTATGCAAACGAGCATTTAAAACTTCTGCACCTGGGGCTCAAGATGAGCAAGGCGGGCATGGATCTTTGTTTCTACCTAGCATTTCTCCTTCCTCGGCGTGCTTGCCTAGATTTCTAACCCCAGCAAGGTCAAAGCGTGGGGACATTTGCCTGAACTTCCTGTGATGCAGGCAATACATTTTCCTCCAGCTACTATTCTCCTTCAGTCTCTAGCTTTCCTGCAGTTCATTCCACACAGGCCCTTGGGCGGGATTTACAACAGTCCCAGGTTGTCTCTGTCTGCCATTAGCCCACCTGCTGTGTCCTTTGCCCTGATTCTTGGAGAGAAGCCCCAGCCAAACTCAGCAGCATCTCCTTCCTTTTGCTGCCAGAGCTGCTGGCTCACCCACATCTCCTACATCAGCCAGAGTCAGACCCCAGAGTCAGACCCCAGAAAAGAGAGAGGCAAGCAACAACCCTCCCCACCTTCCTTTTGTGGTTCTAGGGAGGCAGAGGTGTGGAGCCACAGCATAATTCTCCAAAGAAATCACAAAATCCATTTTTATTTCTATTTGCTCCACCCTTTCGAGGCTTCTGGTGAAGGGATTCAATAGTTGTATAACTTATTTGCAAAACCTGCTCTATCGATTCTTTGGAATTTGATGCTACAGCCAAGCTATTTAACATCCTGTCACAATAGTTATAAACTTCCATTGTCCAAGATTTGCATTTTCCTAGATGATTAAGGACTATCTCATAAAAGTAATTTCTGACAGCTATTAATTGTGTTTAGATCAGTTTGATTAGGTCAATGTACTTTCGGACCTGAAAATGCTGAAGAAATTAATAAATAATAAAGCTAAAATAGTTTTCTTCTTTCCATCCCATTTTGTAAACAGCCTGCTGGTAGTCTTCCGTTGAAATGGCTCTTCTATACAAGCATCCAGTCTTTCCCCAACTATGCCCTGAAGAACTCAACTGTTAATAGATATTGAGTCAAATAAAAGTGGGTAGTCCCAATTAAACAAAATTAAACAGTTAATTTATTTTTACTGCAGGATTTATTAGACTTAAATTTGCAAGAAGAAATAGAGTATATAGGGGTGCCTCGGTGGCTCAGTCATTAAGTGTCTGCCTTCGGCTCAGGTTATGATCCCGGGGTCCTGGCATCGAGCCCCGCATCGGGCTCCCTGCTCTGTGGGAAGCCTGCTTCACCCTCTCCCACTCCCCCTGCTTGTGTCCCCTCTCTCGTTGTGTCTCTCTCTGTCAAATAAATAAAGTCTTTAAAAAAAAAAAAGAGTATATATACAAAACTTTTAAACTGGTTTGATAGTGGGACCGTTTTTTGTTTTTCGTTTTTTTCTTAGAGTAATATACAAAACTATAGTTTGGCAAAAGTTACTTTGAGAAGCAATAAATTAATCTGCCAAACTCTAAAACTTTCTTAGTCTTCACTGAAAAGAGAAGGAATCAACATTAGCTTCTTAAAGTCAGAGACCATAGATTATTTATATCTGTATTCAGTGTCTTCCAAAAAATGTGCAACCAATAAAAAATGGGAAAGAGCATTGGAGGATGTTACCACAAATTATTAAAAAGAAAAAAAAGAAAACACCTTTGAAGGCTTTTTCATTGCATGGTTCTAGGTACCAAAGAGTTGTTGAGTAAATAATTGTAGTATAGCTTATTGTGTTTTTTTGTGTGTTTTTTTTTTAGATTTTATTTGAGAGAAAGCACACGGAGGGGGGGGGGACGGAGGGGGCGGTTAAAGGGGGGGGGGGAATCCCAAGCAGACTCTGAGCCAAGCACAGGGCCCAATGTGGGGCTCGATCCCACAACCCTAAGACCATGACCTGAGCTGAAATCAGTAGTCAGATGCTCAACTGAGCCAACCAGGGGCCCCTTTTTTTTTTAGTTTAAAAGAATGGCTTCTACCATGCCACCAATGCTTATAAAATAAATTGAATTGTTGTAACTCTGCTTCTGAGCTTTCAAGAACATCCCATGCAGCATTTTCCTGACCCTTTTAGGGTGGCTTTCTAGTCCCTTCACAGTCTGGCCCCAGCTTGCCCACACAGCTATGCTAGAAATGGTCTATTGACCCTCATGTTCATTTCGACTCCTCTTCCAGGTTCTTTATCACAGGTTCTGAAAGACTGGGAACTACATTTCTCAGATCCGCTTGCTACCAGGTTCCAGCTATGATTCTGTCAGTTATAAATATTCTCATGCAGGACTTAGTAGAGAGCGGAGCAGCTGGGGTTGTTCTTCCTCAAGCACGGATTCTGCAGCAACCATACGTGATGCTAGTATTGGTCTAGTCCAAGACCATGCACCAGCTGTGATACTGGCCACGGTTTCCTGTTCCCAACCATGGGGGGAATCAGCATCCCCCCAACCTCTGGGTAGCAGCCATGGTGACATAATCTGAACACTTCTGCTTTCCCTGCCTTCCAGTGATTTTATAAGCACCAAATTCCCTGTATTAAAAACTTTCTGCTGAAAATACTTAGAATATTTCCTAATTTCTACACAAAATCCAGCAGTCTTCTTTCCACCACTCCTCCCTCCTCCTCTTCCACCCACCTCTAGCCATCATGTCACTCTCTGTGCCCACTTTCCTCATATTCCTTTTTGCATCCATGCCTTTGCCCCAGCCAGCCTCTGTCCCTAAAAGACCCAACTCCCATTCTCACTTCTCTTTCTCTTTTGAGCTGTTGCACATGCATCTTCCAAAATCCAGTTCAAATGTCCCTCAGGAAGAATGAGTTGGTTTCCCCCACTGCACTGTGAGACACTCCAAAGCAGAAATGAAGTTTTTCTTATCTATAGCCTAGCATCACGTTCAATGAGCAGGTGAATCAAGCTGAAGGGCACATAATAGGACACCCTGTGATCAGGGGAGCTTCAAGTGCAACCGCAACATGAAAATGGTAAGTACAAGAAACAAAAAAAATTTTTTTAAAGATTTTATTTGCTTATTTGAGAGAGAGAAAGAGTGCACACAAGCAGGGGGAGTGGCAGGCAGAGGGAGAAGCAGACTCCCCACCGAGCAGGGAGCCCAATGTGGGGCTCGATCCCAGGTCCCTGGGATCATGACCGGAACTGAAGGCAGACACCCAACCGACTGAGCCACCCAAGTTCCCCCTTTGTACTTTTAATTCCATAAAATATCTCCAAGGGTTCATTTAATGTAAAGTTTTTGCAGGCAGCACTTTATCTGGAGCATCTTCATCCTTTTCACCATAATCATCACTTATGCTGATGAGCTCACCTTCATTAAGTGCCTCTAACTGCATATCCAGTGTCTTTCAAGTGGTGACAGTGTCAACATCAACACTGTCCACTCTTTCTTCCTATGTGGACATCCGATTCAAATTTCAATTCAAGCATTATCACTTTTTGTTTCTTTGCCTCACTTTCATCTTTGCTGACAAACTCTGTTTTGAGTATTCATTTTATTAAAATGTCATGTGTTCCTATAATTGGGAAAAAGACACAATATGACTATGCTTTCCTGTCTGTGTGAACAGACT